CATTTTGTCCTTTCCAATTAAGGAACTCTACATACCTTTCTGAATAACATTTTTAAGCCTTTGGTGTGCTTAGTAAGTGCCCAGCACCATGCACACACAATGTTTTTAGGACATTTCGATTTTAAAAAATATCTATTTTATTGATTTTTTACAGAGAGGAAGGGAGAGGGATAGAAAGCCAGAATCATCAATGAGAGAGAAACATCGATCAGCCGCCCCGTGCACGCCCCCCACTGGGGATGTGCCCGCAACCCAGGCACATGCCCTTGACTGGAATCAAACCTGGGGGACCCTTGAGTCCGCAGGCTGACGCTCTATCCACTGAGCCAAACCGGCTATGGTGGACATTTCGATTTTTGCATTGTCTTCATAACTACATGCATTCTTGTCAGATCACGGTTCCTTTTTGGGTATGGAAAACATTGCTTCAACAATGTGAGGTTGATGCTTTTGACATGCTCTTACCCCGCTTTGTATTGCTTTTCTTTTGGTCTCCACATTCTTTCCAACCAATTTGGGTTTAACAAAAGGTACATGCTTTGAAGCAAGCTGTAGCAGAAATGCCTGCGCCCATGACATGGCAGAATGAAGCAGGTTCAGGCCACAAGAAGAATTCACTAACAGGATGCCAGTAAGGGGTGAGTGAAAGAGGAACTACCTGTGGGTCCTGAGGACAATGATGAAAACATGTTTACAGCACAGAAACAGAACTACAAGGGGCGGGGGGGAAGAGCAGTGTCCCTTGGTGGTATAAGGAGGTCAGCTCACTTCCATTTGTTGAGGCTCTTTGTCTACAGGAAAATGAAGGATTCGTTTCTTCATTTAATATTTAGCAATCCCAAGATTAAAATGCAATGTAAATGTGCCATTATGAGATGACTGAATTTCTGATAAGTCAACCAATAAAACCACAATGAGATACTTCCACACATTTACTAGAACAGCTAAAAATGAAAACAAAACTGACCATACCAAGTTTTTATAAGCATGAGGAATAACTGGAACTCTTCTAAATTGTTGGTGGAAGTGCAAAATGTACAGTCACTTTGGAGAAAAAGTTGGGCAGTTTCTTGTCAAATTAAACATTGACCCACTGTACAACTCAGAAATCTCAATCCTAGGTATGTACCCAAGAGAAATGAAAATGTATGTTCACACAATCTGTATAAGTGAATGTTTATAGTGTATAGTGGCTTTATTTGTAATTGCCAAAAACTGGAAATACTCAAATTCCTCCAAAAGGTAAATGAATGAAGCAATTGTGGTACACCCATCATGGAATACTTGTCAGCAATAAAAAGGAGTAAATTGAAATAAACCTTGCATATATGGCTAAATGATTTTTTTAAAATATATTTTTATTGATTTCAGAGAGGAAGGGTGAAGGAGAGAAAGGAAACATTCTATATAATAAAAGCCTAATATGCAAATTGTCCCCTTGGGCGGTTGTTTGGCCAGGAGTTTGACCAGGACACCAGGAGTTCGACTGCTCCCTATGGCATGTGCTGACCACCAGGGAGCGGTGCAGAACATGGCGGGTGTCAGCGACTTGGCGCTGGCAGTGGGCGGCAGTGGAGGTACTGACAGCCCCAATGGGCCCCAGTGAGACTGGGACCACGGCAGGATGGTGAAGCAGGTGAGCAGGCAGTGGCACCAGGCCAAGGCTGGTGCAAGTGGGGGTCTGACCGCCCCACTAATCACCCTGCTGATGGCAACCAGTGGCAGCGGTTGGGGGCAGGGCCGCCACCCAGCTCCCAGGCACTGAGGGAACCTGGCAGGGGGGCCCAGCCCGTACTGATCATCCTGCAGGCGGGATGGTGGAGTAGGTGAGGGGGTGGCACCAGGCCAAGGCAGGGTGCCAAGTGGGGCTGCGGAGCTGTGAGGGTGGGGGCAGGAGCTGGAGCCAGATCTCCACAGGCCACGCCCAAGGTACCCCACCCATGCACGAATTCGTGCACCAGGCCTCTAGTCAATGATAAGAGAAACTCATGGATCAGCTGCCTCCTGCACACTCCCTACTGGGGATCAAGCCTGTAGCCTGCAACCCAGGCATGTGCATGTGCCCTGACCAGGAATTTAACTGTGACCTTCTGGTTCATAGGTAGACAGTCAACCACTGAACCATGCAAATGATTTCTCACAAGGGTGCAAGACCACACAATAGGGAAGGACACATGGTGTCCTCTTCAACGCATGGTGCTGGGAAAACTGGGTATCCACATGCAAAAGAATGAAATTACACCCTTACCTTGAGCCATATACAAAAATTAACTCAAATAAATTAAAAACCTAAAACTATTAAATTCCTAGAGAAAAATATGGGGGAAAGCTTCAGGACAATGGATTTGGCAATGATATAATGAATATGACACCAAAAGAAAAAATAGACAAATGGGACTACAGCAGACTTTTAAAACTCCTGTATGTCAAAAGAAATAATCAACTGAGTCAAAAGGTAACCTATAGAATGGGAAAAAATAATAGCAAATCATATACCTGCTATGAGGTTAATATTCAGAATATATAAGGAACGCCTACAACTCAACAACAAAAACACAATTTAAAAATGGGCAAAGGGCTTTAATAGACAATTTATTAAAGAAGATATACAAGTGGCCAATAAGCAGAGGAAAAGATGCTCCACATCACTAATCACCAGGGAGATACAAATCAAAACCACAATGGGATATTATCTCATACCCATCAGGATGCTACTATCAATAGGACAGAAAATAACACGTTGGAGAAGGTGTGGAGAAGTTGGAACTTTTGTGTACTGCTGGTGGGAATGTAAAACGGTGCAGCCATTATGGAAAACAGTATGGATGCTCCTAAAAAATTTAAAAATAGAATTACATATGATTCAGCAATCCCACTTCTGGTAGATATGCAAAATAATTCAAAGCATGATCAGGGTTGAAATAAGCCTGGCAGATATGGGTCACCTGAGAAATGAAGTTTCATTGTTCCCAAGGTTCAAAATGGATTTGAGCTGATGAAACTCTCATTTTGATTTTCTAAGTTGTCATCAAATTACTACTTTGGGACCATCTACCAAATGTTAGAGATTGGACAAAAGGGATGGTGAGATTATTTCCTAAGCCATAAAGCATAAAGACGAAAATGTTGCCGAAACCGGTTTGGCTCAGTGGATAGAGCGTCGGCCTGCGGACTGAAGGGTCCCGGGTTCGATTCCAGTCAAGGGCATGTGCCTGGGTTGCGGGCACATCCCCAGTGGGACATGTGCGGGAGGCAGCTGATTGATGTTTCTCTCTCATCGATGTTTCTAACTCTCTCTCTCTCTCCCTTTCTCTCTGTAAAAAAATCAATAAAATATATATATAAAAAAAAAAAAAAAGACGAAAATGTTAGAGCCAAAGGCCACTTTAGGAAAACTGAATCCAATAGCCTAAAATTTCAAACAAAAATAGGACACAAGTGATTCACAGATATTAAGAAATGGAAAAGAAATACCTGAAAGTAAAGAGATTTAAAACAACAACAATAAGTGTTGGACTTAGAAGTCATGAGATGGAAGATTTGCAAAATATAGTTTTATTTAAGGGCAGCATTACATCATTTATTAAAAGTGGTCCAGCCCTAGATGGTTTGGCTCAGTGGATAGAGTGTTGGCCTGTGGACTGAAGAGTCCTGGGTTTGATTCCGGTCAAGGGCATGTGCCTGGGTCCTGCAGGAGGCAGCCTATCAATGATTCTCTCTCATCATTGATGTTTCTATCTTTCTCTCCCTCTCCCTTCCTCTCTGAAATCAATAAAAATATATTAAAAAATAAAATAAAAGTGGTCCAGAAAGCCAGTCAGATGTTAAAGCAATCCTTTGTAGAAAAATAAAAGGAAATACCTGTTTACACACTTGATCCAATTATATTTTTATACACTTTGGAATGCCACAGGGAGTTGCTAAAGATGTCACTTTGATTATTTCTCTTTGCGATATAAATTTAATAAACTCGCTACATACTATGGGCATCCTTCTGACTTAATGTGTTTCTTGAATAAATACCATAGGTTTCAGTATTTTGACATTTACTTCTGAATTGTAAGATTAGGTATGCAAGAGGTCCCGGTTTCATAGCTGGGTACCCCCTCCAAAACAAACAAACTAAGTATGAAAGGTATAGCCAACATCCCTGGGCTGGAGAACCTCTATACATAAGCCAGTGTAGAACGGAGGGCTTCCCTAAGTCTTGTGGTCTCCATGCCATTTTGTACAGTTACAGTATATTTACTTTGTTTTTACTTTTTAAGACTTATAAATCACTCTACTTAATTTTTGCCAATAATTTTTTTTTTGGTTTGTAAAAAAGGTGTTCCTTTCTCCCCCTATCACAACACGGTGAACAGAAGTTATCTGGCGACCTCAGGCGACACAGCTAAACAAAAAAGGGCAAAGCCAATGTTGACAGAGTGTGGGGCAGAGACAATTCAAGGGTGGTGATGTCATCTCCGTGCTCCTTCGAAAGTCCTTATTTAGTAGCGTTCGGAGAGTGGTTCCGAAATTTGTACCCCCACCGGTTGCGTCAGGACATTTGTTGAAAATATTGTTTGCTGGCCTCTGCCCTAAACTTACTGAGTCAGAATTCGCTGAAATGGAACCCGAATTTGTTAAACCAGGGCCGCAATCGGCTTGGGAATCACAGATCCAAAACACAAGCCTCTGATCAACACTAGTTTCACACGGCCGCTCACCCTCCGGCTCGCCCCGCCCAGCCGAGGCCCCGCCCGCCCAGCCGAGGCCCCGCCCGCCCAGCCGAGGCCCCGCCCGCCCAGCCGAGGCCCCGCCCGCCCAGCCGAGGCCCCGCCCGCCCAGCCGAGGCCCCGCCCGCCCAGCCGAGGCCCCGCCCGCCCAGCCGAGGCCCCGCCCGCCCAGCCGAGGCCCCGCCCGCCCAGCCGAGGCCCCGCCCGCCCAGCCGAGGCCCCGCCCTCGCCTTCCGCAGTCTCGCGTAGCCTCGCGGGATATTTCCCATAATGCCCCGCGCCTTGCCGCCGTGGTTGCCAGGCAACGCGGTCCCTGCCGCCGCCGGCGCGGGGTTCGACCGCACGATGGGGCCGCGGGGCCTCCCCCGACTCCTGCTGGTGCTCCTGGACTGCTGGGCCTCCGTGAACGCCCAAGCCGGGACCACCCTGGTGGTGACAACGGAGGGCCTCAACTCTACGGAACCAGCCCTGACGACTCCCCGACCTGCCTTGTCTGCTAGGCCCCCGGGCACCCCCAGTGCCCCCGGACCCTCCTCGGGTCCCAGGCCCACCCCGGTCACGGACGGTGGGTACCAAGTGCCCGGTCCAGGGGATCCACAGTGATCCATCCTGAAGGGGGGAGCCCGGGTGAGGATGTAATAATGTTGGTTAACGTTTATTGAACACTTTATTGTGCAAGCATTCCCAAGTGTTTCATAGGGATTCTCTCAATAACTTTTAGAGGCAGGTAGTATCCTTGTCCTACAGATGAGAAAACCGAGGCTCAGAGAGCGTAAGTGGGACAATAGCAGATCTTTGAAAGTACTTGCAGTGGTCCTGGACAACATTAATGCTAAAGGTAATAATGAATGAAGTCCTTGCAGCTTTGCAGCCAAAGAAGAAATTAAATCAGCAGTTTCAAGGCAGTTGTGAAAATTAAATGCAGAGAATGCACAGAACCCTGATGCCTGGTGGCCTTAAATGGGTCCTTCCTCTGAATCAGAGGAGGCTGGGGGTCTGCAATATTAATCGGATGGTTCTTATGGTCAGCATCACTGGAAAATTTTTGAACAACACAGATGTCTGGGTTTCACAGTCAGCTTACCAAATCGGGGTCTTTGTAGGTAGATAGAGCACAGACAGCTTTCCAGGTGAGCCAGATGACTAGCCACTTTGGGGAAACCCCGGATTGAGGAGTGCTCAAACTGACTAATCTTCACTTCATCTCTCCCAAAGTGCAGTAGCAAAAATCAAGTGGATATTTGTACCAAACAGGGTTTTTTTGGTGCATTGTAGTGGCAGGGGGCAGTCACTACCTGCTGATTGTGACGCTCTGCATCCATTCTCTCCTTTCTGTAGTTGCCGCTTTGTGTGTCTGTGACCTGTCTCCAGTACAGTGTGACGTCAACTGCTGTTGTGATCCTGATTGCAGTTCCGTGGATTTTAGTGTCTTTTCTGATTGCTCAGTTCCAGTTGTCATGTAAGTTTGTGACACATGAAGTTTTGATAAAATTAGACCAAGATTATAAGATTTTGAGAAGACCATGAAAACGCCCCCGTGGCGGAAAAACTCAAGCCTGATTTCCTGAATTTTGCATCCTTCAGAAGCCATGCTGTCCAACCAGTATGTAGAAGAGTATCTCTCTCTTATTGCATCCAGCCAGATGATAGTGCAGTCAAAAGAGCAAACAGAGTACTTTTTTTAAAAAAATATATTTTACTGATTTTTTACAGAGAGGAAGGGAGAGAGATAGAGAGTTAGAAACATCGATGAGAGAGAAACATCGATCAGCTGCCTCCTGCACAGCCCCCACTGGGGATGTGCCCGCAACCAAGGCACACGCCCCCGACCAGAATCGAACCCAGGACCCTTGAGTCCACAGGCCGTCGCTCTATCCACTGAGCCAAGCCGGCCACGGCAAGAGTACTTTTTTAAGAGTATAAGGAAATCTGTGTTCAGAGATTGAATTACATTTCACTTTGATTTGTAAACAGATAATGCATCATTTTTGCAATAGTGAATTCCTGTTATATATAGCCTCCTAGGTGAAAGGTGCAGTTTAATTTTACAGCTTTTGTTTTGGACATAGTAATAGTAACAACAAATTAAGGAGATGGTCAGGAAAGCTTTGTTTTTTTACCTTTCTGATATGCAAATCTCGCAGGAGTCCTCACAGTTCACATTGTGTAGGAAAATAATGGAAAACGACATTCCTAGCCTATTACAAGGTAAAAAAGAATCTCTTCTGAGTGATCTGTTTCTTCTAATTCAGATTTCAAAGGTTTTTGAAAAACAGCAGCACTTAAAGAAGTTAGTTTATTCAGGATGGGACCAACATATTCAGAGATGGAGTAATTATGTAATTAATTTATAAGAATTTAATTTATAAATTTAATTCTAGTTTGATGGGAAAGGGATATTGTATTAAAATGATTCTAAAACTCATCTGGAAGACTAAACAGATGAGAACAGCCAAGAGGTTATTGAATAAGAATAGCAAAAAAAAAAAAGAATAGCAAACTCTTCTTACCAATAGGTTGAAGAATGAAATACACTAAAAAATTAAAGAATGGCCCTAGCTGGTTCAGTGAATAGAGCATCAGCCCGAGGACTGAACGGTCCCAGGTTCAATTCTGGACAAGGGCACATACCATGGTTGCAGGCTCCATTCCTGGTCCTGGTGGTCAGGTTGCAAGTAGCAACCAATCAATGTGACTCACATCTCCCCCCTCCTTTCCATTCTCTCTGAAAAAAAAAAAAATCAATGGAAAAAATATCCTCAGATGATGATTAACCACAACAAAAAAATCAAATAAAAAAAAAAAGAATGAAAAATATAGGTGAACATTTGTTGTGTGTGTGTGTTTTATTTGAGAGAGGAAGGGAGAGGGAAAGAGATAGAAACAACAATGATAGAGAATCATTGATTGGCTGCCTCCTGCATGCCCCCTACTGGGGATCAAGCCTGCAACTCCGGCATGTGCCCTGATGGGGAATTGAACTGTGACCTGGTTTATAGGTCAACACTAAACCAACCATTGAGCCACGCCGGCTGGGCTAGGTGAACATTTGTTAATCTTAGGCTACGGAATGTTTTTTAAGCATAAACCCACAAACTATAAAAGATTGACAATTTCATTATTTTAAAAAATTAGTCAATTATACCTCAATTTTAAAAAAGGAATTATGATTATAAAAACCAATTAAAACTTCTATAATGACAAAAAGACCATAAAATGGAAAGGTAATTAACTGGGAAAAAGTATGTATAACACATGACACTAAAAGGAGATTCTTTAAAATATGGGCTCTCACAAATCAATGAAAAAACAAACATTCTGATACACAAATGGCCAATAGATATGAGTAAGCAACTTAACGGAAGAAATACCAGTGAGCAGTAACCATATGGAAATATGTTTAACCTTGCCAGTAAATTATAAAATTCAAATTAAAACAACTGGATAACGGATTTTTGCCCATGAAATTGGCAAAGGATATTTATAAGTTGGATAATATCCAATCTTGGCAAGATTCCGGGGGAACAGCACTCTTTGCTACAGTGTTGGTGAGGATGCCTCTTGCCTTTCTGGAGGGCAATCTGGCAATATGTCTCAGTAGCCTTAAATTATGTACCTACCTTTTGACCCAGCAATTCTTCTTCAGGGGATATAGCCTAAGGAAATAATTGGAGACATTCATAAAGATGTATGTACAAGGATGTCATTATAGCATCATAAAGAACCGGGGAAAATTAGAAACAACCTAAACCAACAGTAGAGGATTGGTTAAAAAGAAATTAGGGATCTTAATAAGTTGGTGTACAATGAAATCATTTAGTATAACATTGCAAAAACATATTTGATGACATAAATATTGGGCAATATAGAATAAGTGAGAAAAGGCCTGAGAGCAGTATGTAGAATATGATCCCATTTCTGTTATATCTCTAGCGCCATATCTATATCTGTGTCATATTGATTAGGGTTTGTCAAGTCTGGGATTGGTTGAAGACCTGACTGTATAACTTGTAAGCTCCAAAACTTTCAGATGTCTTCATATTTTCTAATTTTCACAGTACTTTGAAGATGGCTTTATTCTGAAGAAAAGGAATTTTAGGTTCCTTCTGATTACTTATAAAAGTTCTGCAAAATTTTACATAATTGATTCTGTCAGAGTTTGCAGGGTTCATTTACATCAAAATTATACCCTGATCTACATTTCATACTTGACAAGATTTCCTTGAAGGTTATTCTACTTGTCTTAATATTTTTCCTGTTAGAGGAAAATGTTTCAAATGCCAAACATTTTAACACTGAATAAACTAAATAAAAATGGATTCAATTCTAGCATCACACTTTCATAAATATCTTCCACGTGGTTGTTAACATAGTACACAGTACAAGCATCTGACAGTTTTAAAGAATCTTGCTAAGATTGTGTGCACATGCCTTAAAACTTTGTCTTATTATTTTTTGTTAATTTTCAGGGGTGATAGTCAGTTTTGTAGCCAAAAAGCAGCCATCTATTCGTTGAATTTAACAGCAAACCCGCCCCAGAGGCTATTTAAAGTTGTAGACCAGATCAATCCTTCTATTTTCTGCATTCATATTACAAACTGTGAGTATTTGATATACTTTGTAAAACTCTGGCTTTTTTTTTTCTTTTAAAAGATCTTTTATGGGAAAATGTCCAATCTAGTTAGATTTAAAGCAGTCATTCTATGGTTTGGCTAGGGTGTATCTTCTGAGGCCGTTTCCTAGGCAACTGCAAGTAACTTTAGAGACCTGTGGGCATGCACATTTTCTTTACAAGCAAAGGAACTGCTTGTATAGTTGACTTTTAAAGTCTCATACTTCATTTTAAAGGTGTTTATGATATGTAGACATGCATAGGAATCTAAATTTATTTAGGCACATGAGAGTTGTGGGTTTTTTTGCTTTATTTCCTCCTGGTTTAATGATTGAGAATCAGGTTCAGCTATAGTTTCAATTTCCTTTTTTCTCTTTTATTTTTACTTAGAATATTTGCATGAAAACAGGATCTTTATTTTTATCTGAGCGTTTGGCTCAAATAGGTGACTAGATCCAAAGCACAGGTAAAATGTCAAATGTTAGCGCTACCAAAGATCAGACACATTTATGGTTGTACCCAGTTAAGCTTTATCATCTTTTCAGAATGTCTTCATATTTTGACTTTGCTCCCTTATAAGTGAACACTTAGGGGAATGCTCTGTGATTTGTAACCTGGAGTAGTGACTGGTCCATCACTGTCACATTCTTTGACATAAGAGTGGCCCCGTGAACCTACCAGCCTATTCCCTTCTACCTTTCCCTAAACAGCATGTATTCTCCCGGACTTCAGAGGTGGCTGTGTGAGGGTAGAAATAGGGTCGTTCATTCCCATAGCCATCTGGGGTGGAGAAAGTTACTGATTATTACTGGCTTCTGTTGTGCTATTTATCTGTGGCTTTAGAAACCATTGCTTCTACACTGTTAGAGAAACAGGCCAAGTCTGAAGATCCTGTTTATTTAGTCAGATTCAAGAAATCTTGGGGGAAGTAGAGATGGAGAAAGATATTTTATTTTTTTCATGTGTCTTATTGCTATTAAGACTTTCAAAGTTTTATATACGCTGTATATAATATATATGTATTTTATACTGATTTAAAATACTTTTTCTAAAAACAGATAAACCTGCATTATCCTTTATTGATCCAGAAGTGCCTGATGAAAACAATTTTGATAAATTGATGAAAACATTCCATGGTTTTTCATTGAATACAGAATCAGATGTTTCTTTAACAAACGAACCAGATGTTCCAAATACTACTAAATATGAGGTGGGCTGAGAACCTAAGTCTATTCATCCTGTTGCAAATATCCTGTCCTTATAAGTTATTTTTTCAGTATGTTCCCAGTAAAATCAGCTACCTGAGACATATAATTCATATAATGCACACAAAAAATTAATGTTTGTACCTATAAATCAAAGATCATGAAAATTAAAATTGAGTAGTTGAATTCTAACATAGGAATTATTTTTTATTTTATTTATTTATTTATTTATTTATTTTTTAAAGCATTTTTAAAAAATATATTTTATTGATTTTTTACAGAGAGGAAGGGAGAGGAATAGAGAGTTAGAAACATCGATGAGAGAGAAACATCAATCAGCTGCCTCCTGCACACCCCACACTGAGGATGTGCCCGCAACCAAGGTACATGCCCCTGACCAGAATCGAACCCTGGACCCTTCGGTCCGCAGGCCGACGCTCTATCCACTGAGCCAAACGGGTGTTGGCTATTTTATTTATTTATTTTTTAATCCCCACCCGAGGACATGTCCATTGATTTGAGAGAGAGACAGAGACAGAGAGAGACAGAGACAGAGAAACATCAGGTGAGAGAGAAACATCTTTCAGTTGCACCGGGGATCGGACCTGTAACCTAGGCATGTGCCCTGACTAGGAATCGAACCCAAGACCTTTTGGTACACGGGGTGACACTCTAATCAACTGAGCCACACCAGCCGGGGCTCTGACATAGGGTTTAAAGTCATTTATTCTGTGGTAAGCTTGCATTTATCCTGCAGAATTTGTTCTTTTCCACCTCAAGAAATGTAGCAAAGTGCTGAAGGCATGCTGCTGGAACAGAGGGGTTTGGTGGGATGCCTAATCTTCTCAAAGTTGTATTTAGCTGTATAGACTTGGGGATGATGTGTGCTATTTTATATCTGTTCCTTAGTAAACCTTTCAATGTGATTTAAATAAGTATTGCTATCCTATATAATAAAAGGCTAATACGCAAATTGACCAAATGGCGGAACAACCGGTTGCTATGACGTGCACTGACGACCAGGGGGCAGACGCTTAATGCCGGAACTGCCCCCTGGTGGTCAGTGCGCTACCACAGGGGGAGCGCCACTCAGCCAGAAGCCGGGCTCATGGCTGGCGAGTGCAGCGGTGGTGGTGGAAACACCTTCCCCCCCCCCCAGTGCACAAATTTCATGCACCCGGCCTCTAGTTGAAAAATAATTATCTCTCTCACCCCTGTCCCTGGCCACCATGTTCTTGTCTGTAGAGGCAGACACCTATGTCAGCTTCTTATATACCCTTCCAGAAGAATTCCTTAATAAAAAGGCAATATATAGTAACATGGATACAAAGAAACATGCACCCTTAAAAGAAATGGATGGGGCAGCTACATGTAAACTCCATTCAGGCAAGGACCATATCTGTTTTTTGCTCATCCCTGTGTTCCTAATGTCTGAAATGCTGCTTGGCACATAGTAGGTGTCCAATAAATGTTGAATGAATGACTTCATAACTATTGGTGGTTCTCTTTGCAGTATGGGGTTCTTCTGCAGACTTCAGATTCATTTTTGAGATTTCCTTCCCCCCTTACGTCATCTCTGTGCACTGATAATAACCCTGCAGGTAAGAGAGTTTTCTTTGTCCTTAAAACAAACTTAGCTTATTTTAAATTTATAGTAATCATAATTAAACAGGCTTCATGACTAGAAGCAGAGTCTTAGAGTTGAAAGAAGCCTCAAAGTTTATGTTGTTTGGTGCCAGAATCTTTCCTGCCACATGCATTCACTGCTTGAGTACTTGTAGGATGGGGACTCCCAACCTGAACCAGCCCACTGAGTTGTTTAACACCTCCATCTGTGGGAAAGTTCTCTCTTCCCCAGAGCTAAAGTTTGTCAGTAGCTGATGTTCATTAAGCACTCACTGTGTGCTGGGTATGATGTTCAGTGCCTCTGAGGTAGAGTTATTGTCATTAGATGAGGAACCTGAGAAACATTCAGTTTCTTGCTCAGGCTCACCTAGGTGGAGGGGGGGCGGGCAGGGATGCAACCCACACAACTGCTTCCCACGGGCCCTGCTGCTCCTTTTAGGAGCTTCCCAGAACTGTGGAGCAATCCTCTTGGCAGTGGGAGGCAGCAAGCCTGGCTCTCCCGTCCTAATGTCAGCCTCACTAGGAAGAAGCCAGCCAAGAATGGGTGATAGCTTGTGGCTTATTGAAACATCATTTTATTTTATTTTATTTTTTTAAATATATTTTTTTATTAATTTCAGAGAGGAAGGGAGAGGGAGAGAGAGAGAGAGAAACATCAATGATGAGAGAGAATCATTGATCAGCTGCCTCCTGCACACCCCTTACTGGGGATGGAGCCACAACCCAGGCATGTGCCCTTGACCGGAATCGAACCCAGGACCTTTGAATCCACAGGCCGACGCTCTATCCACTGAGCCAAACCAGCTAGGGCTGAAACATCATTTGATACGCGAAGGAAAATGTATTCTGTTGACCAGCGTGAATTAAAACCGAACTGAGAGCATTTCCATCTAATGGACTTGCAAAGCTTAAGAACGTAGGGCTTGTGGGGAAGTAGGCACTCATCTACAGAGCCGGTGGGCTATTTATTGGTACAGTCTCTGTGAAGAGCAGTTTAGCAGTATATATTGGAGTTGCAAATGAATATGCCCTTTGACCCTGCTGTTCTTCTAGGAGTTGGTCCTACAGAAACTCTGGCTCAAAATAATAGATTGTAGCATTGTTTGCGACGGAAAGCTTGAAACAACTTAAGCATCCATCATGGGGAACTGGCTGAATAAATGATGGCATATCTATAGTAGGTTACTAATTATTCCTAAAAGAAAAAGGGAGGAGGATGAGACAGGCTGAACTCCAAGATTGTTCAGTGAAAAAAACAAAGGGCAGGATATATATATTGTGCATTTGTTTCTAAAAGGGGAAAGAAATAGTAAAAATATATTTACTTTTAAACATTTTTATTTGCATAGAATATTTTCAGAAAGATACACAAGAAACTTCATGCTGAGTGTCTCTGGGGGCTGGGTAACCAGGGCCCTAAGGGCGACCTCTCAGTACCTTTTTGTGATCTTTAATTTGGAATCATGTGAATGTGTTGCCTATATGAAAAATAAATCTTAAGCCCCATTTTAAACATATCATATATCTGTATCAATGTATTTTGTAATTTTACTTCTATTACAATTTTATAGCAACCATTGGACAGTTGAAATTTTCTTTTTTAATTTTTTCCCCTTGGGAACGTTATGATTTCCAGCATTTCTGATGAATCAAGCTGTTAAGTGCACCAGAAGGATAAACTTGGAACAGTGCGAAGAAATGGAAGCTCTGAGCATGGCTCATTACAGCAGCCCTAACATTTTGAGGGTAAGAATTATTTTGAAGTGAAGCTAATTCGTTAGGTTTATTTTCTGTTCTTGGTACCCTTTTAAAATATGACAAATATAGAATAATTTAAGTACATGATTGACACATAAATTTTAAAATGTCTCCAGTTCTTTGGTATACTGATACTGAACATACTGGAGAAAAATCACTTAAAATAATTTCTATTTTTATCTAGCTAGCTCATATTTTGCTTTTATTCATTTTTTCCTTTTTCTTTCACTCATTTTGATGGTAACCAATAATGTCTGTCTCCTGAATTAAAAAAATAATTAATAACCAAAAACTTTACCAATGATAAAAGCATCTTCATGTCTGTGACAGAAATAATCACATTAGCACCAAGTAGAGATCTCTCTGAGAAACAGACCAGAAAAGGATAGAAAATCCACTTTCTGGCTGACAGATGAAATAAGCAACCAGGGAAGGGCAGGAAATAGGATTGCTGGGAGAGGGAAAGAGGCCGCAGTGGTGAAGAGGCCCCTTCCTCCTGGTCGCAGGGACCCGAGCCTGACCTGAATAAATGAGAGACGCCACCGGCCCATTTGGTGGATGATGTGGAGGGCTGCAGGGGAGAAAATGTTTTTTAATGTTTAAAAAACATGGGATTATTGTGAAATCCCGGATCTCCTGATTTTCTTTTTTGGGAGGTAGTGGAAGAGTGGTCCATGGCATCAGCATCCACCTGGGCTTCAGTTTTCAGAGTCAAGTTTAACCTTTTTTCTCCCCTCCCGTCTCATGTCAGCCATCTAGGCCTGCGAATTCTTCCAGCGAGTTGGCCTTCTCAGTTTTCTGGAAGTATTCCCTCTGGCACGCAGGCACAGGTCTCTTTCAGCACAGGCCTCCCCAAAATGGTCTACTCATCTCCCTCCCCGAAGCTCCAGTGGCCTAAAAGGGTGGGTGTCCTGTGATTATAGAAGGGAGGCTGAGGCCTTCAGGAAAAGTGCTCTGGCTGTGTAGAGGAGGCAGGGGTGTGGCCTTGAGGGGGCTTGGGCTAGAGGCAGGAAGACCACTTAGGAGGCTGTGAAGGATGCTGACCTTCAGCGAGCACAATGCAGTGAGAGCGACTGGCAGGTGGGAGCCATGTCTTCCTCACGGGGCTGTGTCACTGGTGACCGCATGGAAAATACTGAGTGATGACCCTGAAGCAGAGAGGCTTCCTAAGCCTGGCTCTGTTGGGTTGTTCTATTAAGCTTCCATTTTGGAGGAGGTGAATATCAAAGGAAAACGTAAGGTTACCTCTTTGATTATGACATAGGTACTAAAAGATATAGCTGGCAGGTCTTGATTAAGGATATTCTGTTTTCCTCTTTGTGAAGTCTTAAATAAGATGAATATGCCCTTTGACCCCCAGTCTGAAAAAAAAAAAAAAGCAATAAAAATGATTTTTGTTGTTGTTGTATTTAACAAAATTTGTTGTTTCTTTCTGTCTAGGTACCTAATTCAAAAACAAAGGTAAGAGTATTTCTTAATGGAAAGTTCATTATACACTGTCTTATTTCTGAGCCTTTGGAAATGATTATATTTATGATTAGAAAAGTACCTTACTGCCAAGAACAAAAACACATCTCAAAAAGCAAGCAGAGCCCTAGCCAGTTTGGCTCAGTGGATAGAGCATTGGCCTGTGGACCAAAGGGTCCCGGGTTCAATTCCAGTCAAGGGCATGAACCTTGGTTGCAGGCTCCTCCGCAGCCTGGCCCCTGGTCGGGATGTGTGCAGGAGGCAACCAATCAATGTGTTTCTCTCTGTCTTTCCCTTTGTCGTCCACTCTCTCTAAAAATCAATGGAAAAATATCCTCAGGTGAGGGTTAACAAAAAGAAAAAAAAGCAAGCAGAAATGAAATAGGGAAACTTCATGGATGACCCTTTTGTAGTCATATGTTGGTGTGATCGGCCTTTGTGCTTTCTGGCCTCCCTTGATACCTTCTTGGTCTCTTGTCAGGAGAGTGGGCTAGCCCCCAGGATGCTGTCTGTCCAGTGAGGAGAGGAGGATAGAGACATTTTCCCCAGTGAGAGGTGAGCATCCCAGTGTAGCTTCACATTTAGTTGTGGGCAGGTTCTGTTCCAAGCCTATCCCCCCACAGCCAGGGGCCCTGTCAGGCTATGGTGAGGAGGCCAGTGTCTCTGTAGGTATGTCAGGAGGAGGAGTGTGGCTCTACCTCTTATTCTTGGGTCTGTGAATGTAGGCGATGGCCTTGCCATAGTATCCCAAAGCCTGTGGGGTTAGTCAGCCTTATTCAGAAGTCAGCTCTGCCATGACTTTCTCATATAACATGCTCCGCACACCCCCAGTTGTCAAGCGGGCGATAAGCCTCAATGCGCATGAGCTGCTTTGTGCAGCGTCTGTCACACAGGAAGCACTTGGGACAACGATCCTACTCCCACTGATGATGTCATTAAGGCTCTGGACCAGCCGTGGGTAAACTATGGTCCGCGGGCCAGATCCGGCCCGTTTGAAATGAATAAAACTAAAAAAAAAAAAGACCGTACCCTTTTATGTAATGATGTTTACTTTGGATTTATATTAGTTCACACAAACACTCCATCCATGCTTTTGTTCCGGCCCTCCGGTCCAGTTTAAGAACCCATTGTGGCCCTCGAGTCAAAAAGTTTGCCCACCCCTGCTCTGGACACACATGTGTTTGAGGTAGACATTTGAAAGGAAGTAGTCATGTGATTTGAATTTCACATGACTGTGTGTGGGCCTGGATTTCCTCTTCTGTGAAGGGGGTTTTCAAACTTGTTTTAGTTATAGAGCTTCTTCAAATGAAATCTCAGCCAGAACGCTGCCTAGTGTGCAAGATAGATTGAATCCAAAGCCCCTGGTTGGAATAAGGGTGGTGTCAGAAGCTCTCCGCCTGCCCGGCCTCTCCATCTCTCTGCTGGTTTGGCCCCTCTGAGGAACCTCTACAGCTCCCAGGAACCCAGTTTGAAAGGCACTGGACTAGCTCTCAAATACCTCTAAGTCACTAAAAAGTGCTTTGAACCTACCATTCAAAGCTTGAACTGTCTGTGGGGCAGTGGCCGTCTGCAATATGTCCTTAGTACTAGGGCGGTGCCTAGTATGTGTTGGGTTATATGTTAAGTGAATGAATGACTAGGGGATTGGCTCAATCAAGTAGGGAAGATCCTTTATGAGGAATAATGGGATGTTACTGAAAGGCACGAAGTGTGCGCCAAGCAGTGTTCCAAGTTGCTACACATGTCCGAAGTCCTTTGGTCATCTCCGCAATCCTAGGAAGTAGGTCCTGTTATTGTGCCCCTCTGTCACGTGATTCGCAGATGAATTACTTGCCCCAGGCTATGCAGCAGGGAAGTGGCAGAGCCGGGACAGGCTGTCTGGCCACAGAGACCATGGCACTGGACTAGCTCTTCTGTGTACCAGGCCTTGAGTTACAGGCTTCACGCACATTCTCTCTACATCCTGTGGCCACACAGCAAGTGGAAGGCTGGGACTTCCAACTCAGATTTGTGTGGCGTTAGAGTTTGTGCTCTGAAAGACAAGCATATCAACTAATATCAGAGGTTTCTTCATTTAAAATTTTTACTTACTGATTTGAGAGAGAGATTAATTTGTTGTTCTACTTAGTTATGCATTCATTGGTTGGTTCTTGTATGTGCCCTCACCAGGGATTGAACTCACAACCTTGACATATCCAGATGATGCTGTAACCAACAGCTACCTAGCTAGGGGCTAAGGTTTTTTTTCCCAAAAGTGACTTCCAAAGTCTGTTAGAGAATCAGGAATATAAAAATTGGATCCAGTCTCCCCATTGAGTGAAGCCCCTGATGACAGCCTAACCGGGGTGGGCAAACTTTTTGACTCGAGGGCCACAATGGGTTCTTAAACTGGACCGGAGGGCCGGAACAAAAGCATGGATGGCGTGTTTGTGTGAACTAATACATGTTAACACTGCTGCTGGTGAAGGAGCGGAGGGGAGAGCAAGAGAACCCTCCGCTCTTTCGGCTCTGCGAGCCGGATAGAACAGCTGAACGGGCCGTAGTTTGCCCACGGCTGACCTAGAATCATTGTCAGTATCTGTTGAACCATCAGTGGATGGTTAAGTTATGGCTCCATAGTTTTGTTAAGTACTAGAGGCCGATGCACGAAATTTGTGCAAGAGTAAGCCTTCCTTTCCCCGGCTGCCGGCACCCGGCTTCCCTTCCAGCCCTGGCGTCATCTGGAAGGTTGTCCGGTCTAATTAGCATATTACGCTTTTGTTATTATAGATGCTTTGGTTCTTTAGTTTGGGATGGGAGATGATTGAGTGGGACGTGCAGGAGACCAGAATGGCCCTGCCGTTGTCATTCTTGTGGCTGTTCCCGTGGATGCTGGTAGATGAGTCTGTTCTTCCCATTGGTTTTTCTTTTTTTTTTTTTTTTTTTTTTATATTTTATTGATTTTTTACAGAGAGGAAGGGAGAGGGATAGAGAGTTAGAAACATCGATGAGAGAGAAACATCGATCAGCTGCCTCCTGCACATCTCCCACTGGGGATGTGCCCGCAACCCAGGTACATGCCCTTGACCGGAATCGAACCTGGGACCCTTCAGTCCGCAGGCCGACGCTCTGTCCACTGAGCCAAACCGGTTTCGGCTTCCCATTGGTTTTTCCAAAGCTTGTTTAAACTGGACCGTTTGTACCTAGCTGATTTGGCTCAGTGGATAGAGTGTCAGCCTCTGGACTGAAGGGTCCCAGGTTTGATTCCGGTCAAAGGCATGTGCCCGGTTTGCAGGCTCGATCCCCAGTAGGGGGCATGCAAGAGGCAACCAATCAATGATTCTCTCTCATTATTGATGTTTCTATCTCTCCCTCTCCCTTCCTCAGTGAAATTAATAAAAATATATTTAAAAAATAAATACCTAGACCGTTTGGTTTCTGCCAGCCACACCCACATACTACAGGGTGTGCCTGGGACTGTTGGAGAATGTGCATGTGTGCGTACAGAGTGAGGGCATTTATCCATAGGAGCTGAGTTTTGGAGGTGATAACATACACATGCATTTGATGGTGTGATGAGAGTTTTTTGTGGTTGTGTTTGAGACATAATTCACCTCCATAAAACTCACCATTTAAAAGTGTACAAGTTAGTGGTTTGGGGTATATTCACAAGGTAGTGCAGCCATCACCATTATCACCAGGACATTCTTACTGCTCTAAGAATAAACCCTGTGCTTATTAGCAGCCACTCTTCATTCTTCCCCAACCCCCTCTCTCTGCCCAGCAACCACTAATATATTTTCTGTTTCTGTGGATTTGCCTATTCTGGACATTTCACGTAGAAGGAATCACACAGTATGTGACCTTTTGTGCCTGGCTCCTATTGTTTAGCACCACGTGCTTAAGGTTCATGTATATTGTGGCAGGTGTCAGTCCCTTATTCCTTTTCATAGATGAATAATATTCTTTTGTATGAGTATACCACATTTTATTTATCCAGTCATCAGTTGATATACCTGTGGGTTGTTTTCAGTTTGTGGCTATTATAAATGCTGCTGTGAACATTTGTACACACGTGTGAGTGTGTGAGCATATGTTTTCAGAGGTAACCACAAGTAAAGTTTTGGCTATATCCTTAAGTATTTTCTCTGTGAACGTATATATGTACTTACATATAAATATCCACATTTTTGCAAATGTGTAATTACATAGCAAGCCTGTTGTTCTATAGCACGCTTTTCCCTACTTGGCAGTGTATCAGTGGAGGTTCGTTTCAAGTGTTTTGTTATTTTAACCCGTTCACTTCTGTTGTAGTATCTTCGGTAAGCCAGGACTTCTTTATTTTGCAGGTCCCTATCACTGTCCAGTCCATCGTCATTCAGTCTCTAAATAAAACGCTCACCCGGCTGGCAGACACGCACGTATTGGAGCCGGTTCTTGTTGAAGAGGCTGGGGCTGTTAAAGTCTGCACCAAGGTCGTTCTAGAGGTAGGGGCCCGGTGGCTTTGAAAGCTCCATCAGTTTGTGGCAGACTCAAACTGCACGGTCCCGAGGGGTTCAACTGGACGTCCTTCAGAAGGGGCTCTGGCCCACACTGTGGTATTGCTTTTCTTGATGTGGCCTCCTGCTTGCCTTTCTGCTGTCCCCTTAGAGCAGTGGTTGGCAAACTGCGGCTCACGAGCCACATGCGGCTCTTTGGCCCCTTGAGTGTGGCTCTTCCTAAGCCTTAGGAGTACCCTAATTAAGTTAATAACAATGTACCTACCTATATAGTTTAAGTTTAAAAAATATGGCTCTCAAAAGAAATTTCAATGGTTGTACTGTTGATATTTGGCTCTGTTGACCAATGAGTTTGCCGACCACTGCCTTAGAGGATACCTCTTTGTCTCTGAAGTAATCACCTGTGCTTTTTCTCCATAAACCCAGTGACTTACAAGGATACATAAAAGTTTGTTGTTGTTGCCACTGTTTTGTTTTAATGTTTCCACTGCAGAGAGAGACTGATTATATTCTGCCCAGGCCAGCTGATGTGGAACTTACTAAGCGTACGGAGAGGCTCACATGACCCTGTTTGTCAGCAGGGGTGATGCCAAAATAACACCTCCCCTACCTGATTGGACAGGAGAGAAAAGCTTCAAGTGGAGAAATGGGAAAGCATTAGCCTCCTCTCTATAGTTTATTTGAGTTATTAATACAGCTACAGAAATGTCATGGGAACAGGTGTATTTGGAGTGTCGTTTTCGTTTATAGGTAAAGTACAGTCTCACATACACAGAAGCAGGTGAAGTAACAAAAGCCGATCTCTCTCTCCTTCTGGGGACAGTGAGCGACGCAGAGCTTCCACTCCAGCAAAAGTTTGAAATTCATTTTATTCAGGTAAGATTGATCAGTTTTGTACAAGTAGCTCATTGCCAAGTGAAAAGAAACCCTAACTTGTCAGTGAAAAACATAGTCTCAGTTTACAACTATTGCCACACCTAACCCCTTGCACTGAACGAAGGCTTGCACATAGCATTGGGTTTGTAAGGCAGCAGGCCGAGGCCTGCATCCTTTCCCCCGGGGACTGAGTCCTTGCATGCAAGCTTGCCCTTTACAGCATGATGCACTCCTACCCTCGGCAGACACATTTATAGTTCGGAGTAGGGGAGAAATTATTTTATTGGTCGGTAATTCCAGATTTTATTCTGAAAAGCATTTCATTTACCCCCTGCCACTTCCTTGTTAAAGTGAGAATTACGTGGGGGCTTTTCTGTATTGTCTTTCAGCAAAATACAAAGCCAGTTCCTCTCAGTGGAAACCCTGGTTATGTTGCGGGCCTCCCGCTGGATGCTGGATTTCAGCCTCACAAAGGATATCCTTTTGGTTCCGTGGAGAAGGTTGATTTCCCTGTCCACGTGGCGGGGCCACGCTTCCCTTTATCGCTGAGGGGCCTGTGGGCTGGAGGGGCTGGTCTCGGCCACAGGCTTCCCTGGTGGCTCCAGAGGGGCTGGTCTGGCCACACAGCACGTGGGGCTCCTTGGAGACTGGAGGTTAGGGGTGGAACAGCACGACCCAGGACAATGTCAATGGTTATAATGACAGTCTTAACCCCAAAAAGCTGACAGAGATGTAGATGTATTTAATTTCACAGAGATTCAAACAAATTTAGTGATTTTGAAAACTTCGAATTAATTTTGAAGGGCCAGTTTCTGAAGATTTTTTTCTTCGGAGGACCCAATCAAGGAAAATAGTTATAACTGCTTTTACCATCTCCTGGGAAATAGCTGTCATATCCCCAGAGGCCGGAGAAGAGATATTTGGGTCTCCCTCATGTCTCAGTCACACGTGTGCCACTGTTTCCTGAGAACCAGATGCTGTCCTACTGGGTGGTTATCCCTTAACTCTCCATGAAAGTCTGGAATTATTCAGACCATGAATAGATATGGACAACTTACTATTCTTCGTAGCACAGCTGAGCAAGACTGCTTGGCAGTAGAGGGGATTCGGACCCCAGTATTATTTGGTTACAATATGCAGTCTGGCTGTAAACTAAGGTAAGGGAGTGACTTGTTTCTGTTGGAACTTGCATGTGTTGATCAGAAAATAAAACATCCCGCTTCCCCCCGCCACCTTTTCAATCAGACATTTGCCTCAGCTGATGGGAGTGCCTGTGAAAGCTACAATGTACCTTATGATTATTAATAGGTAGTAGCAATAGTGACAGTACATTATAATATAGTTTTTATTTTAATTTTCAGAACCATAAGCCGTGTGTCATGGTTCAAAGGAAAACTATTACAACCATTTTTCAAATCAAATAGAGTGGAATAAAAACCTCAAGGCTTTGTATGTTTTGTTTTCGAGGTTGCATAGCACTTGAGTTCACAGCAAAAATACTTCCCCTAGAAGTCCTTGCTATAGGTCTGCATTTTAACATCCTGCACACAACATAGCAAGCCCAGTGAGAGGAAGCCTGAGTGTGCTCTGCTTTTAATTTACCTTTTTATTATCAAACACGCGTCTACTGTAAAATGTCAAATGGCTCTGCATGGCTTAGTCTAAAATAGCAGTTCTTACCCTCACCTGCCCCACCCCAGAGGTAGTAACTCTTATAGCTGATTTGTTGGAAATTTACCTTCAAATCTTTAAATGGCCTGCGTGTAACGCTATTTCTTGATATTTTAGTTTTATAGATTATTTCTTGAGTTCCCACTATGGAAGATGAAAATCTGGCTCTATTCCCTTTCACCCCCTACCCCACCATCCACTCCCTTCTGACCCTGTAACTCCCCAGGATAATTATGTCATTATTTTGGTTAGACCAGTATGTGCCATTTACATTTTTACATTATTAGTTCTGTTTTGTTGTTGTTAATCCTCACCAAGGATATTTTTTCCATTCATTTTTAGAGAGAGTCGGGGGAGAGAGGGGGGCTGAGGGAGAGAGAAATAGAGGGAAACATCAATTGGTTGCCTCCTGCACATGCCCTGGGGCCATGGAACAAACCTGCAACCCAGGTAGGTGCCTTTGACCGGGAATTGAACCTGTGATGGCGCTCTAACCACTAAGATCCCTGACCAGAGCTTACGTTATTAGTTCTGATCATTTTAGACCAGCATTTGTGAAAGGGGGGTTCAGAATACATTTCCACAAGATGTCAGTAGGAGTAGGTCTATGATTCAGTATGTTTGGGAAATACCAATTAAAGTTAAAAACATGTTCCTACTGTAGGACTTCTCAGAGCCTTTAATATGCCAGTGTACTTCAGGAGGGACATGGGTAGGCAATAGTTCTCAAACTTTTGGCCATGGAACCTTTCTTGTACAGAGCCTCTTGATGCAACGCAGTTTGAGAAACATTGTTTTGTATGCATCTCCTTGGCCAACGACTATGTTTCAAAGTTAGAAACAGTTTGGCTTCTTTCAAACAAGCCCCTTTTGGAGAGAGAGAAAGTAAACCGCAGAGAGCATGTGTGTTGTTGAGCCTGTGGACAGTGCTGGTGTGAACAGCAGCCTCATTTGATTGACTTCTTTTTCCTTCTCCAAAGACTGACCAGCACGATCACGTGTCCACTTGTCGTGGAGAAGGTGAAGAGCCTGCTGAAGGGTCAGGGCTTCCCAGATTATGTGGCCTCTTTTGGAAATTCTCAGGCCCAGGATGTGCCGGACTGGGTGCCTGTCCACTTCATCACCCAGGCACCCCACACGAAGGTACGGGGGGAGAAGTTGAAGGCCACGTAATGGCGATCTCTCTTTCTTCCATGCCCCTCCACCCCGTGGGAGGTAGATGGCTCTGGGCCGGAGCCTGGGATTTATCATCAGATGGGCCCGGACCTTGAATACTGATTTTGTCCTTGTTAACACTGCTGTCACTGGCCATTGATTTTGTGGGGTTGGGCCCTTTCCTGTCAGTGAGGTGGGAATGATGGCTATAGTACCGACCTCATAGGGATTGTTGAGTTAATGAGGTGATTAATATTCATGGTGCCTCGTGGTTACTCCATAACCGGGAACCTGACCATTCCTACTGTCATTGTTGGGGTTACATGAGGCCTCTAGGCATTGGATATGAGACAAGTGTGAGGACTGTCTCAAAGAGATTGAGACATCCTCTCATCCACAGAGCTGTTCCCTGGTCTATAACGGCAGCCCACATGAGAGCTTTCAATTCAAAAGTTCCCAAGAGTTTAATGGAATTTGACATCCTATAAATGGGTTCCTGATCACATGTGATTCTTCTGCCCACCTTTTCCTTTTGTCTCAGCAGTCAGTGTGGGCTGGCCCCCATGCCTGGAGGTGTGCTCTCCATCTTATCCTTTAATTGCCCAGCTTTTTCTTGTCACAGTTTCTTCAGGCCTTTCATTATCTGCTAGCATATTTATAGCATGGGGACGGGGTGAGGACGCCTCCCCAGCTTGGATCCCGCCCTTCCTACCAGAGACGGGTGATTGCTCAGTCCCTGCTGTTCAGCTGCTAAGTCTTGGCTCAGCGCTGCTGCCTCAGTGAACCAGGCAGATTGCTTCTGGCTTCTTGGAGACGGGTTAAGACATCCAGTTATTACCTCCCCCTCAGAAGGGAAACAGGTTGGGAGGAGACGCAGCAGCGAGGACATTAGCACTGCCAGGGTCTGTGCTGGTCCAGGGAGCTCAGGGCCTGGGGTGGGTTTTGGGCCAACCTTTCAGGAAACCCAGGTAGAAGCAGACATGAGAGCATCTGCTAAGCTCAGTTATACCAGCTGCTTGTTGCATCTTCTCCTAATAACAGGATAGTCAAGGATCTCTCAGCCTACAAATTGCTTCAAAGGCAGTTCCAGGCTAAGGATCCCACCAGTGCCTTTTTGGCAGGCACAAATTTAGCAGGCCTGCTAGCTTCTCATGCCTTGAAGAGATGTGTTTTTAAAAACTTGTTATTGTGGAAAATTTCAAACATACACAAAAATAGAATAATACAACGGAATCCCTTCTAACCATCATGCAGCTTCAACAGTAATCACAGTTGCCAACTGTAGAGGTCTAGAGTCTAGAGCAGGGGTGGGCAAACTTTTTGACTCGAGGGCCACAATGGGTTCTTGAACTGGACCGGAGGGCTGGAACAAAAGCATGGATGGAGTGTTTGTGTGAACTAATATAAATTCAAAGTAAACATCATTACATCAAAGGGTATGGTCTTTTTTTTTTAATTTTATTCATTTCAAACAGGCCGGATCCGGCCCGCGGGCCGTAGTTTGCCCACGGCTGGTCTAGAGGCAGGAAAAAGATCGGGAAGTCCCACCAACCGTTTTCCCCCTGGGGCTGCCCAAACAGAGGCCCTGGGGCAGAGGCCTCAGGCCCAGCTCCCACAGCGTCCAGTTTGAACTGGCAGCTCCATGGAGGCACTCTGTTCTGGTGGAGAGTTGGCAGTATTTTTGACAACTCAGACTCTGCCTATAAACCCAGTGTAACACTTTAATTGCCAATTGATGAAATTAGGTAAATGAAAAGAAGGCACTTACATTTCTTGTAAGTGTATTTTAACATGATATGCAATTGGGTTTAATTTGTTAATAATACCATCCTCTCTTTCTCCTCCCCACCCAATGCCCGTTTCTCTCCTCAAGTACCTTGGAGGTCGCTGTAAACAGATAGAGGAAGTTAGAGCAGGCAAGGCCCTGAAGGTTCTACAGACATGCACTGGGCTTACAACTCCCAGGTGATGCTGGCCTCTTTAGAAATCAGAGGAATTGGAAGGAATGGAAAAATTGTGCTTTAGGTGTTAAAATGTTTTTGGAGCATTGAGTACTTTAAAATATGTGCTTTCTCTAAGCGGTTTTTATCTGAACTTTGAGAGTCTATTCATTCTCTTGTTCAGAACATTTTGTAATATGTGAAACATTTTATAATTAAAACTCTGAACTGAAGATTAAGTTTGACTTGCAGTTGGCGTAATAGTCAAACTGATTAACAGCATTTTGTTTTGTAGGATGTCTGCCAGCTCCCACTGGCTTTGGTTATAGAAGTGAAGTGGACTAAGTACGGATCCTTACTGAACCCACAGGCTAAAATAGTCAACGTAACTGCAAATCTAATTTCATCCTCATATCCTAAGGTAGGCCTAACTTCAGTTTCAAGGTATAGGTTAAGACCCAAGTCCAGACAAAACTCAAGTGTGATAGTAAAATTTATTATTTTGTGAAAAATATTATAATTAAAATGGAAACAATCTAGATTATTTTTTTAAAATATATTTTTATTGATTTCAGAGAGGAAGGGAGAGAGATAGAAACATCAATGATGAGAGAGAATCATTGATCGGCTGCCTCCTGCATGACCCCTACTAGGGATTGAACCCGCAACCCAGGCATGTGCCCTTGACTGGAATCAAACCCGAGAGCCTTCAGTCTGCAGGCCGACACTCTATCCACTGAGCCAAACCAGCCAGGGCAACAATCTGGATTCTTAAAACATTGTAGCAGTCATTTTCTTTCACTTAGCCAGTGGTTCTCAACCTTCCTAATGCCGCGACCCTTTAATACAGTTCCTCATGTTGTGGTGACCTCCAACCATAAAATTATTTTCGTTGCTACTTTGTAACTGTAATTTTGCTGTTATGAATCGTAATGTAAATATCTGATATGCAGGATGTGTTTTCTGACAGTCGCGACCCACAGGTTGAGAACCGCTGATTAGACTCTAAGTCTTAGAGGAAAAACCTCCACTAACAAGGGTTTTATTCACAGTAGCACGCTTGTTTAGATTTGATCTTTAAAATTCTTAGGAAAATTGAGTTGTGATTGACATTGATGTGTTGGGACAAGCTGGGTAAAAGTTATTTCATCTAAGTTAATGGCTGATTAGCCCTCCACATACCTATCAGATTTTTGAACGGACCAACAATGGTCGGTGAGGAAGAGAATGAAAGATGTCCTGTCTTTGTTATCCCGGTAACACACGGCGGCAAGGCTTACACCACCCTGGCTTTTTATTACAGACCAACTCCGGAAAAGAAAGGACGGTTCTTATTTCCACTGCGGTTACTTTCGTGGATGTGTCTGCTCCTGCAGTGGCAGGCTTCAGAGCTCGGCCAACCATCAATGCCAAGCTGCCCTTCAATTTCTTCTTCCCATTTGTTTGACGTAAGTCATTAAAGAAAGGAGGCTACACCTCTAGAACAGAGTGGCTGTGGGGCCCCTCAGCAACATCTCATTTTATTAGACTTCCAGACCAGTACACCTCCCCTCCCCACTCATTTCCCTCCTTTTGGAAATTTTATTCTACTTGGTTTGACTTTAAAATGGGGCACGATCTGATCTTGGTAATTTCCAAAACTCTCAACACACAGACCCTACGTGGAAACCAAATTGCACCTTTGGGAAGACGGTAGAGAGAACAGACTCTGAAGTAGCAAAGGCATTGAGGGCTTATCCAGTTCACTCACCTCCTGCTTTGATGTGAGTTGTTGTTAAAATAATCATTGTTTTTAGTTCAGGTTTTCTTTCAAGTCCCATTGAAATGAGTACAAAAATAGCGAACTATTGTATAAGCTCATGCAGATAGAATACAAGGCCTCAGGAGGGGGTCTTCCCCCAAATGTCATGTTAATTAGAGTGGAGTCTTGGGTCCAATTGACATTTCTGTACCAGGCACTGTCGCTAGCGAGCTCTCCAACTGGTGGGCTGGTGTGGAATGCCACAGAGCAGTTCCAAGCAGTTGAAGCTGGAAGGAATATAGTAGGAGGGTCCGGGGGAAGGAGAGAGTTTATGTTATACATTAATTGTACAGTAATTGAGAAAAATGTCAGGTGGCAGAACGAGGTGGAGCCAGCTAGCAGCTGGGTGATGCAGCTGGATGATGCGGAGGAGGGGGTGGGAACCCGAGGACAGCCTCCTTGGGGAACTGCCCTACAACAAGCTGTTCAGAACAGCTTGGAAATAGAAAAGGCCTTTCCTGAATGGGCTGGTTGTTAAGGTAGCTTCCTTTTTTTTCTTTTGTCTTTCAGAGTGCTCATATGAAAGAACGCCTCAGTATTCACGTAGAACGTGAAAACTGCATTTGATGAGATTAAATGTTGTATACAACTAGTGACTGTCCAGCTTTGTTGTACATTTTCAAGCAAGAGTCAAGTGTTCAACATGAGAAACAGCTTATGATACATTTGTGATACAGTGCAGGTGGGAATGGGATGGGAAGCCCTCGGTCACACCGAGGAAGAGAGAGAGCCTTCCGGAAGACTGTCCCTCCAGGATCCAAGCTGGGTAGGAGGCAGAGACATCAGACCAGCCCTGTCCCGCAGATGCCCCACGCGTCTCATTCACAGCCACAGCCCGTGAGGCGGTGTCTCTGGAGTGGAGCAGGGATGCCTCTAGTTCACCTCCCCCAGAAGTCCGTGCTGTCTCAGTAGCTTGTTAAGTCTTCCAATTTCTTGTTCCTGTTATTACAAAAGCAGAGAAATAACTGAATTTACCTCTGAGTCTCATCAGGGATGTGACCATCATTCCGTGAGCCCTGGTACGAGGACAGGCCACGAAGCTTGTGGAGTCAGCCCGCTGAAGGTGACTGCCACAGTCAGATGGGGTCCAGTGACAAGAGGAGGGATGCCCAGCCTAGCTCTGGGAAGGAGGCAAGGACAGGGAAGGCTTGGCCAGGGGGAGGGGTGCTCCTGGCTCAAGGCCCACAGGAACGAAGGCCTGGTGTGAGAAGCACTGTGCTGAGGTGGGCAACTGCCAACAGGTGGTATTTCCCCAGAAGTGCTTTCTTACCTTCTCAGAGCAGCTGAACTCAAGGTGCTGGATCTTGGCAGCCAATTGCATATTTATCTGTTTTAACCTCAACAGTTGCCGTTCTGAACGTGTCTTAACTGAGATAATTATTCCTGAAAAATAATTGAGGGTCTCAATGATCCTGGTTTCTAATTTAACCACTTGAAAAAAAAAATCTGTATTCCTTATAAATGTATACAGTTGAGAAGAGTGGTGACAGACAAGTAAAACAGTCATTGCTTAAAGGCATCTGAACTAGGAGGGTCAGATTTTTCATTTCTGAGCGACTCATTTCTGAGGATCTCGTGAAATACTTCTCTTTGGTTCCCAGGGGCTGAAAAATCCTTAAAAATAATCACTCGCCGAAACCGGTTTGGCTCAGTGGATAGAGCGTCGGCCTGCAGACTGAAAGGTCCCAGGTTCGATTCCGGTCAAGGGCATGTACCTGGGTTGCGGGCACATCCCCAGGGGGTGTGCAGGAGGCAGCTGATCGATGTTTCTTTCTCATCGATGTTTCTAACTCTCTATTCCTCTCCCTTCCTCTCTGTAAAAAATCAATAAAATATATTAAAAAAAAAAAATCACTGAACAGATGAGCATTGAGCTCCTTAGCACAGAGCTTCTTCACCACAGCACTGCCTGGCAGCAGTGTGTGCAAAAGCCACAAAGGTGCTGGCCTGGCTGGTGTGGCTCAGTGAATAGAGTGTTGGCCCGAGCACTGACGGGTTGCGGGTTCGATTCCCAGTTAAGGGCAGGTTCTATCCCTGCCTCAGTTGGTGCATGTGCTCGAGGCAACCAATCTCTCTCACATAGATGTTTTTCTCTCTCTCCCTTCCTCTCTCTTAAATCAATAAAAATAAAATAAAGTCACAGCAGAAACATGAATTCTCTGAGATAGAGGCTCCCTGTACAAACAGGGTGTGCAAGGCATAGGCTTTTTACCTAAAATACGCAGTATTTCCTCAAGTGTGTGCTCCACAGCCAGTGTCTACAGCATGTGAATAGGTATTACATACCCAGAAAGTATCAGATTGGTCAATTTGGAAAATACTACAGTTCTCAGAGCCTTCATCACACTAACACATGTTGTGCTTTTCTCAAAGGGGGCAGGATCTAGCGTAAACCATTTTTCAGCTTCCTTGCATCCCTTTTGGATGAGGCCCCTCCCCAGGTGGGTAGGGTGTGATTAGTCTAATACAGTGGTCGGCAAACTCATTAGTCAACAGAGCCAAATATCAACAGTACAACGATTGAAATTTCTTTTGAGAGCCAAATTTTTTAAACTTAAACTATATAGGTAGGTACATTGTTATTAACTTAATTAGGGTACTCCTAAGCTGGCCTTTGCTAAAAACGTCCTCAATCTGATTGAGGTACGTTCGCTGAGGTCGACCCCTTCAAACTCTCCCATCCACACTCATCTTGTATACTTGCTTTGTCTATCTTTTGTCACGTGCGCCATTTGCGGACGCGACTAGCACTAACCACTGCGCAATGAGACTGCTGACTGACTGGCTCACTCAACTCGTGCATGAATCGCGCATGCCTCCCCCGCGCTGCGTATCCCGCGGCCCGCCTGCGCCGTGTCTCCTGTCGCCCGAACGACCGACCGACCGACCGACACCCCCCCACTTCTTCTAACGCCACTTCTTCAAAATAGACTCGCACAGGCCGAAAACCGACTTCTGCGCATGGGCCACGAAGTTTCAATCGCAGTGTACGTGGTATTTTGTGGAAGAGCCACACTCAAGGGGCCAAAGAGCTGCATGTGGCTTGTGAGCCGTGGTTTGCCGACCACTGGTCTAATAGAAATAGGGCCTAAAGGAGAAAGGTAGTTCCTCTGAGAGCACATGTCTCGGTGTCCGTCTTAGCCACAGAGGTGGTGGTGGGACCCCAGATCAGACCACTTCACTTTCCTCTAGACGGCGGGGAGGAGAGGGAACCGACCTGGAAACCAGGACCTGCAGCCTCTGTGTCCACTCCCAGGCGCCACCCGTTCCTATCTGCTCTGCCACCCAGGGGTGCAGGGGACATACCGTTGATGATCCGGGCCACCCGCCACAGCCGGAGCAGAATCAACAGGCCAAGAGCCTCAAACTCATGCTCCTGGAACAGGACGACGATGTCGAGGACAAATGAGACCACAACGACAACAGAGTCCAGGATTTCAAACTTGTGGTGGAAGAACTCGAAGCGGAAAACAGATATTTTAAAGAAAACCTCTATCATGAAGAAGGTCAAGATGGCAATGCTTATGTAGTGGAACACCTGAAGGAGACAGGAAGCACAGTGAGAGCAGGTCCGGGCTGGGGCAGGTCACACAGACCAGCAGGCCTCGAGTGCACCTGTCAGGTTGCCAGAGAGAGATTTCATTCACTGACCAGTCCCAAGCCGCTGCCAGCACCAGGCCCTGTTCTCGGGCTGGTAAAACAGTGGGAAGAGCAGACAGGGCTCTGCTCTTTGAAGGACAGCTGGGCGATGGCGGATTGGAAAACATCCGCCGTGCCTATTAGCATAGCAATACTATAACCATGCAGAAACCTTATTTTCTTTCATTGGGCCTTTTCATTTTTTTCCCTTTGACTCAAACTCGCCTCTCACCCAGCACCCTGACTCACCCACCTTGCTCAATCATTAAGCCCTCAGAACAGTGAGGTTCTGGTCAGCATCTAGTAGTCTTAGAACAAGTCTATTGATTATAGAGACAGAATTTTCAATCAGACTACAGAGAAGCATGTTGGCCTCAGTTTCCAGGAAAGCAGAGCAATCCCTCCAAACATGTCCTTGCCCAATCAGGACAGAATGACTCCATGGCTGACATCAGGACCAGAAACAGTGATCAACTACCCTCTACCCTAGCGCCAACCAATCAGTAGAGACCATGACCCTAACTCCTTGAGTCATGATTAATGATCCCCCCCTCCCCCCCCAAAGTCCTTTCCCTGGAAGCCATGGAGAAGGAATTTTTTGAGCAGTCGCTCACCTGTGACTCCAGGCATGGTGCCATCTCCTTAATAAATCCTTACTTCCTTGGCTGCAAACTTGCATTTGATAAGTGCAGGCAAACAGGCCCTTCAGTTGGGTAACAATGCCACTGCTTGGAATTTATCCTACAGCTTATTGATAATTTTAAAGGTATGAAAATGCTATTGTGGTTCTGTAGGAGGAAGACCTTATTCTTATGTACATCAAAGTATTTAGGATGAAGTGTCATGATGTCTAACTTACTTTCAAATGGTCAGACAATAATATATGGGTGTGTTTGTGGATAGAGATATAAAGCAAATGTAGCAAAATGTAGATTTGCCTCTTTTTTTTCATAATCAAAAAGTTGAGGAAAAGGAAGGGCACAAGACAGTGAGTTTGCAGGTATGTTATTGATTCTGTTAAAAAAAATAGAAGGAAAGAGAAATTCATCCATGTATGGAAGGACTGGGGCTGGTCGCAGAGGGACACCTAAGGGTGCCTTGGGAAAGGGGCCACGCGTAGTAAGGTGGTGTTTTACACCTGAAAGGGCATTTTCGAATTATAAATCAACTTTTGTTTTTAAAAAAGTATTGGGAGAAGCTTTCCAGCCCCCGACTGTCTCCTATGTTACTGACGATGGGCCACAGGTGGTGTATTTTTGGGGTATCCAGTGCCCCTTGGGCGAATGTTGGGGAGGGACTCCGGCAGGAAGTGTGAATCAGGGAATAAATAGTGGCACGTCCCCGATGGCTCCAGCCTAGAGACCCCATCAGAACGGCTCAGGAGGAACAGCTCTTCCAGGGGACGGGGAAGTATGGTCTCCTGGTCAGAGCGCCCCTCTGGAATCAGGGACACACTCCAGCTCAGCGGTCGGCCTGGGAAGCCATCAAGTGAAAGGAGAAAGTGTCCTGCTTGTAGTAAATGCTTTTCTATAACTTTCCTCTGCCCTTTGGCTAAAAGCACCCCATCTGCTCCCATGCAGCCTCGGGCGGCTGCTGTCCACCCTGCTCTGTCCCCTCCAGCGCAGGTACCAGAGTGAAGAAAGCATAAGGGCCGTGGACACGCTACCCTGCCGGCGTAGTTGTTCTTGTCCGGCTGGATGATCTTCAGGTCCAGGATGAGCTCGGCCAGCACCAGGAGGGCATCCAGCACAACCAGGCAAATGATGATGACCTGCGGACCCAGGGAAGGAGGAGAAGCCATGAGCCCTAAAAGGAGACCGCCTTCTATCTTTCAAAGGTTGGTTTGGAAACATCTGGATGAAACCACTAGGGAAAAATGCCAAGGATGGGAGGCTGCTGGCTATGGCCCAAGCACCCTGTGGGGAGCCCGCTGGGGGCCAGCTCTTCCACAGAAGCCCCTCCTCCCCCTGCTACCTTCCCGGGCTGTTCGCCACCTCAGTGCCTGTACCAGGGCATCTCGGGACAGCTCACTCACTGACCCTCTGTCACTATTTGTCTTTTTTTTTTTAATATATTTTTTTTTATTGATTTCAAAGATGAAGGGAGACAGAGAGATAGAAACATCAATGATGAGAATCACTGATCAGCTGCCTCCTGCACACCCCACACTGGGCATTGAGTCCACAACCCAGGCACGTGTCCTGATCGGGAATCGAACCATGACCTCCTGGTTCATAGGTCGACACTCAACCACTGAGCCATGTCAGCCGGGCACTACTCGTCTTTTTCTTACTCGTTCACTGTTTCCCAGCATCTCTCAAACCAAACTGCTAATTCCTAGGTGGCAAACAAAATAAGCAATAAAAACATTTTGCCACATTTTTATTTTCCTAGTACTGTGCATTGCTCTCGCTCGGGTAAGCCCAGAGTAGATGCTCAGCAAATAATGAGCAACATGCAGCCTCAGAGGTCTGAGTGGTGGCAGGAACCTCCAGGCTCTGCCCGCTTTGGGCAGTTGGGTTATAGTGATGTCCACTGTGCACATAAAACAGCTGCGGTGCAGAGCCGGGAAATACCTGCCCGCCTCAGGTGGAAAGCCGAGAAGAGTTGTGGGAAAGACAGTCATGACCTGGGGGCAGAGGAGGGCAGTGGGAACCAGAGCGGAGGGAGTGGGTGATCGCAGTGATGGTGGTGGTCCCGGAGATGGAGGTGGTGACGACTCTGATAAGGGCACTAATGGGTGATGGTGACAGTGTTCAGAGAGACCACAGGGATGACAGGATGGTGATGGGAATGGCAGCAATGGAGGGACCCAGGGGACGTTGCGTGACTTTCTTCCTTTGGAAACGGTGGACCATTACTTGCTTCCCCCGGGGCCTTGCCGCTTACACTCTCAGGTACATCTATTTTGGCCTCTGAAGGTTAATGTTGCCATTAATTTTCTTGGCAGTTGCAGGATGAAATTCTACAAGTTCAGGCCTACTAAGAACGATGTACTGTATACATTTTTTATCATTTCCACCTGTAGCTAATTATTTCAGTAATTAAATTATTTGATGATATGGATTATTGTGAAATTGCATGGCAAACTGTTTTTCAATGAAGTTTTCATACAGATCAAATTCAGCAGCTTAATAAAGATTCAAGCCCTGACCAGTTTGGCTCAGTAGATAGAGCGTCGGCCTGTGGACTGAAAGGTCCCAGGTTCAATTCCGGTCAAGGGCATGTACCTTGGTTGTGGGCACATCCCCAGTGGGAGGTGTGCAGGAGGCAGCTGACTGATGTTTCTCTCCCATCGATGTTTCTTAACTCTCTATCCTTCTCCCTTCCTCTCTGTAAAAAATCAATAAAATATATTTTAAAAAAAAGATTCAAGCTTTTGGTGGTGTTTTCCCCTTTTCTTTCTTCATCCTTGGTTTTATTTTAGAGCTAAACGGATCTGACTTAAAACCAAGGCACAGAAATATTAAAAACAGACTGCATATTCAGCCATAAAAAGGGACAAAGTACTGGTACATGCTATGACGTGGTTGAACCTAGAAAACATTATGCTAAAGTGAAAGAAGCCAGATGCAAAGACAGTCTGTATTGTATGATTCCATTCATATGAAATGTCCAGAACAGGCAATTCTATAGACGCAGTAAGATTAGCGGTTGTCAGGGGCCGGGAGGTTATTGTTTAATGGGTACCAAATCTCCTTTGGGGTGATGAAAATGTTCTGGAACTAGATAGTGGTTATGGCTGTGCAACATTGTGAATGTATTAAATAAACGCCACTGAATGATTCACTTTGAAATGATTAATTTTATATGAATCTCAGGCCCAAGGTCACAAAGCTACAATGCCTGGGTCCCCACCCTGTATTTTCTCTTGGTTGTGCCATCCCATGTGTGCCAGCAGTCAGCTGTACATCATGTCACCTTGGCCACCTCAAACCATGTGGAACAAGTGGTTTGAAGGAAAGGGATTCCAGAATCTTCTGTATGCTGATCCTACTGGCACAGATCGAACCCGAGCCTGAACCTGTGTCCCCCGCTGTGAGGTGGCCACCTTTCTTCTACTCTGAGTCCCCTCTCCACATCTGGTCATGTCACCCCCTCCCACCCCCTGTAAACTTTCCATGGCTGCCCACTGCCCAGGGATGACGACCTTCCAGTGCCTCCTCTCTTGCCAAGCGGTCCCTCTTCTCACCACACACATGCCTCGTGGACCCTCCTCAGTCCTGCAACGCTGCCGACCCTCTCCTACCTCGGGCCCTTAGCAACAGGGCCATCTGCCTGGAAAGCTGCTCCCTCTCCCACCCACTGAGCTCACTCCTGCCCAGCCTTCATGTGTTGGGGGGAGAGGGGCATGTCACCTCCTAGACATGTCTCCCCGTCCCCAGGATCTCTCAGAGCCCCCTCTGTTTTCCTACAGAGGGCTTCTCTCCACTTGTAACCAGTTATCTGTCCGGGTGGTTTCTGGAATGACTGTATCCGTGAGTGGGGCAGGAACATGTCCACTGCGCTCACCACTGTACCCCTTCTCCCCCCACACACAGGTGCTAAGAAACGGCTGTTGAGTGAATGACTAGACATCTCTACTTGTTTTTCCCCAGTACCAGCATCTCCGGGGATCCCAGCTCAGGGGCCAGCTGGTGGGCTGAGTCAGGAGAAGGGGGGCACCTCCCCGAGGGGGATAATCCAGGGCTCCCCTTGCAGCTGGAAGGAAGCTGGCTCCTTCCTCCTGCTCCTGAAAATTGAGGGTTTGGGATTTCAACCCCAACAAGTTAATACCACGCTTTCTTTCCTGTCGCAGCCACAGAGGAGAGCACTGTGCCAGGCTGCTGGGCCTGCATTCTTTCTCGAAGCCACATAAAAGCGACAAAAGACCAAAATAAGTTTTCCCTGTTTTACCCTGGAACAAAGTCAGCGATGGGAGAGGCAAGGGCCGCTTCTCTCTGCTTCCAGAAGGGACACTGGCTCTTGGTAGGAACCGGATTATCTTGACCCAGGGTCCCCCAAATGGCTCCATGTGGTAATGGGGCTGCGTGCTTCCCCAGTGTCCCTGGGCCTCCTGCATTCTCCTGGGCCTTACACATGCTCCTGGACTCCTGCCTGCCACCTGAGGGCTGGCCAGACTCCACCTGCCTTTATCCTTCACAATCAGATGGCAGGACAGATCCTGAACTCTGGAGAAAGCTCCATTCCTTTGCTGTCCTTTGAAGCCCCCCATCTGCCTCTCATGGTCTCCCCATGACCACACCTGGAAGTCGGCGGTGAGTTAAGCCTGGCAGGTATTTTTGGCTGAGACTGAGGCCCCCAGGGTGAAGAGTGGGTGTGGCCTGGCACCCTCTCGCCTTGTGGGGCTGGCACGTTTTTTCTGCCTCCAATGTTTATCCTTTAATTGACTTTGTGAGTGTGCGGCAAAATTTGTATAACATAAAATTGACCATTTTAAAATTCAGTAGCATTAAGTCTCTTCCGAAGGTTGGGAACCACCCACCACTATATAGTTCCAGAACATTTTCATCACCCCAAATGGGAGCCCTGTACCCATGAGGCAGTCTGCCCATTCTTCCCTCCCTCCAACCTGTGACAACCACCAGTCTGCTTTCTGTGCCTACGGATTTGCTCCTTCTGGGCATTTCACACAAATGGAATCATACAATACATAGTCCTTTGTGCCTGGCTTCCCTCACTCAGCAGCATGTTCTCCAGGTTCATCCATGCTGTAGCCGGTGTCAGCGTTTCCTTCCTTTTCCTGGCTGAGGAGTATTCCAGTGGGTGGATGGACCACATTTCGTTTATCCATTCATCAGAGGATGGGCCGTTGGAGTGTGATTTAATCCCTGAAACGGGGGACCTGCCCCGTGGACCCAGCACTGTGTAGGCGCCTGGCACATGGTCGGTGCCCAGGAGACATCTGCACCGTGAATGAGGCAGTGGCCGAGATGGGCCCCCACCCCAGCCTCGTGACTCTCAGCTGAGGGCTCTGCCCACCTACCTGAAACCTGTGGGAGCTGAAGAGCTTCTTCAACTTGGTCCTGAAGTCTAGAGGGCGCCTGGGTGTGGAGACAGGGGCCGCAGTTGGCTCAGCAGCTCTGCCCTCCTCCTCTGAGGCTGGTGTTGGCGGCGGCGGCGGTTGCTGCTCCTGCTCCTGCTCCTCCTCCTCCTCCTCTTCCTCCTCCTCCTCTTCTTCATTCTCCCATTTCTTGTAGTTGATGTTCCAGGCATGGCAGTCATCGCCGACGACAGTGAAGTGCCGCAGGAACTTGCTCATCCTCTCGGCGGGAGCCACCTTGGCCCTTCGGGTGACCGTCTAAAGGGAGGGGACCGAGAGTGAGCGCTCGGCAGGGCGGCCTCGGAGCCCGGAGCCCGACCAGACCACTGGGACCCCACGTCTCTCTGGCGGGGAGCAGGGCCCCAGCTGGGCCACAGGGGTGAGGGCAGTCCCAGAGCTCAGAGCACCGTGTGAGCACAGAGACCGTGAGGTCACAGTGGTTTCTTGTGCTTTTATTTTTGGAATCCAGGCTGTCAGTGTCAGTGAGGCGACAGGAAATGCCAGACCCCATCAGGCCTATCACTGTGGTCTGGTTGGCAGTAACCAACGGAATTGGTACTACAACCCAGTTACCAAATACCCATCACGGGCCCAAGTGTAAAGGTCGGAAGAAGGCCCCATGGTTCAGAGATATCACAACCTGAAAAACCAGAGGCGAGAGTTGCAAGGGGGAGGGGAAAGCCAAAAGTAAAAGTACCCAGTTTCATGCCATGGCCGATCAGTCCTTGAAAGGTGAGAAGCAAATGGATTTTTTTCTAGGTTCAGCTGTTTTAAACACACGATGGACAATTACTTAAAGACCAATGGTCTCAAAGCAAAAAGCAAATAATCCTCCTCTCTTGGCCCAGATAATACATTTTTAAAAAATATATGTTTTATTGATTTTTTACAGAGAGGAAGGGAGAGGGATAGAGAATTAGAAACATTGATGAGAGAGAAACATCGATCAGCTGCCTCCTGCACACTCCCCACCGGGGATATGCCCACAACCAAGGCACATGCCCCTGACCGGAATCGAACCTGGAACCCTTGAGTCCGCAGGCCTACGCTCTATCCGCTGAGCCAAACCAGTTAGGGCGATAATACATTTTTTAATAAAGTTTGATAATGAAAAGTTTCAGGTATGGATGCAAGAATAGGCAATATGGTCAGTGGAACAGAAGAGAGCCCTAAGCAGAACCTGGATGTGATGGTGGTGGCAGGTCAGATCAGCGGGAAGGGCTGGCGAGGTCAGGACAACTGGCTTTCCCAATAGAAAAGTAAGTAAACAGAAGACCCCCCTACAACACAAAGAATAAATTTAGGAGGCATTAGCATTAATGTGTGTGTGTGTGTGTGTGTGTGTGTGTGTGTGTGTGTGTGTATGTTTTTAAAACTTTAAAAGTCTTAGAACAGCCGAAACCGGTTTGGCTCAGTGGATAGAGCGTCGGCCTGTGGACTGAAAGGTCCCAGGTTCGATTCCGGTCAAGGGCATGTACCTGGGTTGTGGGCACATCCCCAGTGGGGGATGTGCAGGAGGCGACTGATCGATGTATCTCTCTCATTGATGTTTCTGACTCTCTATCTCTCTCCCTTCCTCTCTGTAAAAAATCAATAAAATATATTAAAAAAAAAAAAAGTCTTAGAACAAAATACAAGTATCTTCATGACCTCAAAACAGGGAAAGATTGTTTAAAGAAGACAAAACTGCTTGATCGGCATGGCTCAGTGGTTTAGCATCAAGCTATGGCCCAGGAGGTCATGGTTTGATTCCAGGAGGTCACAGTTCGATTTCGGATTGTGGGCTCAATCCCCAGTGTGGGGCGAGCAGGAGGCAGCCGATCAATGATTCTCTCTCATCACTGATGTTTCTATCTCTTTCTCCCTGTTCCTTCCTCTCTGAAATCAATAAAAAAACCTATATTTTATATATATATATTACAGTTTTTAAAGTATTACATATAGTATTACTTATGTCTCCCTTTTCCCCCATTGACCTCTCCCCGGCTACCCCCACCCCCTAGCAGATTCCCTCACCCCCCTACTGTCTGTGTCCATTGGTTATGCTTATATGCATGCATACAAGTCCTTTGGTTGATCTCTTACTACCCCCCCACACACACCCACCCCTGCCTTCCCTCTGAAGTTTCATAGTCTATTTGATGCTTCTCTGTTCTGTATCTATTTTTGTTCATCAGTTTATGTTCTTCATAAAAATGTATTTGTTAAAAAAGAAAACAAAAACACAAAGAAATGGATAGAGTTGACTCATCAAAACTAAGAGCTTTTCTATCTCACAGACACCCCTACAAAGTTAAGACACACACAGATTGGGAGTAAGTATTGCAATGTACTTAACAGACACAGATTTAGCATCCCGAATATATAAAGAAACGTTACTTCAAAAAGACAACTCCATGGAAAACTAGGTAATGGATATGAAGCAGGTCACTTAAGAGAAAACCCAAATGGCCAAGATACTCAGCTTCACCAGCACTCAGGAAAATGCGAGGTGACGTAACATCGCACACCTTTTCACTCCTCAGGTTGGCCAGATTGTAAAGCCTACGATAGCAAATGTCGGTGAAGGCGTGAAACAACGGGGTCTGTTGAACACTGAAGAACAGGCAGTGGCACCACCATTTTTGGAAGCAATATGGCATTGCTTTGTCAAGATGAAGTTGTGTATATCTCTCTTAACGATCTAGTGATTCCATCCCCAGATGGGCTCCCCCCAAAAACTGCCCACATGTGCTCAAATCAATGACATGCTCAAGAACGTTCACCAGAAACGTTCACCTGAGTGGTGGGAGGTAAATGGATCCTATTTGTGTGAGTTAAAAGAAATGCCTCTGTATATCACTGAGGACATCTGCATGCACCCGGCCACAGAGATGACTTGGTCGGATCTCCCCATGCTTTCAGTGATGGGGTGGACCATGAGCTGCCAGGGTTTGCTCAAGGTCTCAGGTAACCAGCAGCCGTGCGCTGGAAAATAGGACTGAAGCTCTTTGATCCCAGGCCACTGTTCCTTCCTGTTCTGTGGTGCCTTGTACATTTCTAAGCTCCAAATTGATTATAAGTCTCTTTCATAAGCCTTTCCTGAATCCCAATATTTTCTTAAGTGCCCTGAGATTGTAGGGCAAGGTTGCAGGTGGTGTGTGTGGAGGGGATGGTGCTCCAAAAGGCTGTATCTAGGAACCCCTTTGACCCCAGACTGCCCCCCTGCCCAGTCTCCCATATTGTTCAAGCACTGTGGGAGCCCCTGATTTGAGACTTCCTCTGATGCTAAGAGGCCCAACTAGAGCTTATAACCTCCCAAGAGTGAACCTTCTGAATCTGGCCCCTTCCAGGATCCTGGGGCCTGCCTGGCTTTCTTCTCTCCTGACCCCCACTACTCATTTCCTCTTCCGTCGTCTCCCTAGACCAGGCCTTTATCCTCTCACCCAGAAGACTGCAACAGCCTCCTTATCCATCTCTCTCCTTCGACCCAGTTCTTCCAGCACATTCTCCACCCAGCAGCCTGAATGGATTTTATAAACCTTCACCTCTGACCATAGCACCTGATCATATCACTGCCCCCTGCTTTTTGCTCTTTGAATAAACTACATGGCCCTGCAAGGTGTGACCTCATCTCCTACCCCACAACCTACCCCTCCAATGGGGTAGGTGCAGCTGTTTATTAGTTCTCTCTCCACACTAGCATTTAAACGCCATCAGGGCAGAGTGTGTGTCCCCAGAGTCTCACCTGACACCTGACTTAGAAGCCCACCAAGCGCCTGTTGGCTGAGGGCCCTTGTACCCCGTCTCCCATGTCGGGCTGCGACTCGTCTCAGGCTGGATCCTCCATCACTTGGTTCCCAGGGCTGGCCAAGGGTGGCTACTGGCCATACCTCCCCCCCAAAACCTCCTGTGCTAGTCTGCAGCATGGGGGCGCCTCCGAGTGCTTTGCAAAAACCACATATTTTACAGAAGAGGAAATTTTTCATCCTGAAACCTTGCGACCAGTAAAAAGAAGCAACTTTTAATAATTTGGGATGAAAATATTTACAGCACCCAGCAGAGCAGAAAAGAACTCTGGTTTTAAGTTTAAAAAATCTGTCATTTCAGAAGCAGAAAAGTTCCAGAAAAGGGCAACCATAGAGCTCATCACGAAAATGTTGTGGGCCTCCGAAATCCACCACCCACCCTGGACTCCCCGCTCTAGTGCCCCCCACCACTAGCCCTGCCCGGGAGGAAGGACTGACTCAGTGAGTAAGGCAGAGCACCAACCCAGTGCCTGGCCTGGAGCAGCCACTCCATAGTGACGGCCATTCTTCTTCAACGTCGAAAACTCTCCTCTCCACTGCTCCCACTTCATCACCGTCCATGAGTATTTCACGTCTTGGCTTCCTGGCCGGCTGCCAGCTTCTGCAACCCCCAGGCTGTTGAGTCTCACAAACTGTTGGATTTCCTTTGTGGCTTAAGCTACATTGAGTTGTTTCTGTCACTTACAAACCCAAAAATCTAGACCAGTAGAGTCCCTGACACTGGAAACTGCCCATCTCCATGCCCCCTGCATTAACCCTTACTGTCCCACTATATCCTGACCCTACTCTCTCTGGGGTCACCTTTAGATCGAAGCCCACAGCTGTGGTTCCCATCTGCTTGACTGTACTGCATCCTGTCACACTGCTGACTCAGGTGTTTTTTAAAAATATGTTTTTATTGATTTTGAGAGAGAGAGGAAGGGAGAAGGAGGGGAGAGAGATAGAAAGATCAATGATGAGAGAGAATCATTGATTGGCTGCCTCCTGCACGCCCCCTACTGGGGATCAAGTCTGCAACCTGGGCATGTGCCCTGACCAGGAATCAAATCAGTGACCTCTTGGTGCATGGGTCAATGCTCAACCACTGAGCCACACCAGCCAGGTTGACTCGGTTCTTTTTGACAATCTTGCCTCGTGATTTTTCTCCTACGACTGGCCATCCTTCTCAGTGTCCTGTACCATGTCCCTGTCCTGCCACCTGGAGTCCTTGAGATTCTGACCCTGTCCTAGGGCAGGGTGACCTTCCCCTTTGGTGGTCTCAGCACACCTGTGTTCTTAACGCTGCTCATGTTCAAAGTCTCAGCCAGATGACTGGTATGCTGTTTGCTGCGACCCAAACTTCCCTCCCAGATCCACTTCTTCCACGTTCCCCCAGGGCTTGGCATCACATCCACTTCGCTGGCCAAGCCCAGAACCAACAGTCATCCCTGGCTCCTCTCTCTCCCTCAAGCTCATCAATATCAATGTAACCTCTTCAATACGGCTCACCCTCCACCTTCTCTTTTCCATCTAACCCTCTCCCATCAACAGGACACCTGCACCAGCCTCCTCATGCGGCCTCCTGGCCCCACATTCTTTCTCCACACAGCAGTAGCCAGGATCACCCTTCCCCACTGCCCACCTGGCCATGTCCCTGCTCTCATCTACGCCACCCCTTCCCCCCCCCCCCCCCGCCCGCCCCATGCCTGCCCACCACTGGGCTCAGGAAAAGGCAGAGCTGCCTGGGTCTCTGGGTGTCCCCAGGCCCCGGTGTTCTTCCAGCCTCTGCCGCACTCCAGCTACACCGAACACCCCGCAGTTTTGAATAAACCATGCTGTCTCTTGCTTCTGGGACTTTGCACAGCCTGTCCCCACTGTCTGTCTCACCCCAGTTCTCTTTCAGGCCTTACAAACGTCTCGATTTTATCCCCCTGGGAGGCCTTCTTTAACCACTGCCTGCTGGCTTAGCGGCCTTCCTCTATTTCCCCACCATGCCACTTACCTGTGAGCACTGTGCCTCTTGGTTCTGCCTGTCTCCTGCCAACTCTGGGCAGCCCAGGCTCTTCCTCCCTCAGTCACAGGGAGGGGCTTCATAAATACCTAATAGGCGAGTTAACCAAGAGCTACCCCTCAAAGATAATCGAATCGCCGGCCTTCTTTACACGTGACAGGTATTATACCAGAACAATTACTACCTGGGAGAGGCGAGATGGAGAAACACGTTCTCATGAACGTCTATTTTTACGGGCTCTGAAGCTGCCATCTGTAGGAGGGGAAGTCCCTATGTCACGGTCATCCAACAATCACAGAAAATGGCACTTTTTAAGAAATTCAGCCGATTCCCGATTCCCAGGGCCCAATGTCCTCTAAGTCCCCATTTTCCCGTTCCCCTCCCAGAGCTCACTTTTGGGGACTCGATGTGCTTATTCATCCAAACCTCCCCACCCTAAAAACTACGAGACACAACAGCAGCGACATCTATTATTACCAATTATTAGTGATGTTATCTGTTATATTAGCGCATCACTAAGTTCCTTAAAGGCTCTATTTCATTTAAAGTCCTAACAACCCTCTGAGGTCAAGGCCATAATTTTGGGTCTAGGTGAGGGAGGAGGCACGTCCGAAGTCACACACTTGGAAAATGGCAGAGCCAGGACCTGTCGCCTGTGCGGGGTGACTCAGAGCCCATGTGCTAGAACACACGACCAAGAAAAAGCCAGGCAGCCAATGACTACATATACCCCTATATGTCCAACATATGCATAATTGGAATCTCTGAATAAGGAAACCAAAACAATGGAACAGAACAAAGTGTTTAAAATATAATTCAAGAAAACATCCCTGGCCCTAACTAGTTTGACTCAGTGGATAGAGCGTCGGCCTGCAGACTGAAGGGTCCCAGGTTCGATTCCGGGCAATGGCATGTACCTTGGTTGCGGGCACATCCCCAATAGGGGGTGTGCAGGAGGCAGCTGATCATTGTTTCTCTCTCATTGATGTTTCTAACTCTCTATCCCTCTCCCTTCCTCGCTGTAAAAAATCAATAAAATATTTTTTTTAAAAAAAAGAAAGAAAACATCCTTGAAATAAAAGACTTTTTTTAAAAAATACTTTTTTTCTGATACAATCCTCCTAAAAAAAAGGGTTGGAGAGAGCAGCCCTTATTGGAGAATATCACAGGGCTGACTGCACTCCCCAACATTCTACTCCAGAAAAAAAAATAAAAAAATAAATACTTTTTTTGTAGGCCAAAACTGGTAAAGATAGACAATTTCATGTGATTCAACCTGTAATATATACTAGTTTGTTTTTTCAATTTCTTACATTGAGAACTTGTTCATGCAGAATTTAAAAAAATGAACAAAAAAGCATCAGTGATAAAACCAGCATATGAACTCAAGTCTACCAGCTCTGTTCTTTCCAAGATGCTCTGCCAATGCGGGGAAGATATGCCAGAAAAGCTGGATTTTTAAGCAGAAAGAATGATGAGAGTGTAAGAGGCAGAATCAAGGTTCTGAGATGCAATCTTCCCTCCCTTAGCAGATGGGGAAACTGAGGCTCTATAACATGGCAACCGTCAGTTAACCTACAGGCACCTGGGTCTCCTGTCTTCTGGTCCAGGGGTTTTAAAACACACCCAGGCAAGGTCAAAGAAGTTGTCGCCAATCCCAGCCTTCTCCCCTTCCCCCACAGCCCATCCATCACTAAACCCCGTGCATTTTAGCATCCAAATGACCCTGGAATCTTTTATATACATATATTTTTTTATTGATTTCAGAGAAGAGAGACAGAAACATCAATGATGAGAGAGGATCACTGATTGGCTGCCTCCTGCACGCCACCTACTGGGGATCGAGCCCGAAACCCGGGCATGCGCCCTTGACCCGAATCGAACCTGGGACCCTTCAGTCCTCAGGCTGACGCTCTATCCACTGAGCCAAACTGGCTAGGGCCCTGGAATCTGATAACTATGTCTCCCATCCCCTGCCAGGGCCCTGGCCCTGAATCCTCCTCTCAGGGGGAGGATGTACCAGCTCCCACGGCTGTCCCCTTCACTCCCCCGTTCTCATCAGCAAACATAACCATGTCGCGCCCTGTGCAGAAAGGCCTGAGGCTATTGTCCTAGAAAGGCCTGCTTGGCCCCTGGCTGGCATCTGGGAAGTTGAGACTTGGGGAGGGTTCATTGCATTCCCTGATAGGAACTGCTCAGTGTGCCCACAGTTTGTGTAAACAACGTAGTTTATGTTGCACACCTGCTTGCCTTCTCAGAGTCCGCCATTTTTGTAAGGGCTGGACAGAATGCCTATGTGAGCAGCCCCCAATGAAAACCTTGAGTTTCTATCGAGCTTTCCTGGTGGGCAACATCGCGCATACGGAGTCACAACTCGTGGCTGGAGGTGTCCGGCACGTCCTGTGTGACTCCAGCCGGAGTCTGGTTTCCTCTGGGCTTCACCCTGGGTGCCTTTGCCCTTTGCTGATTTTAATGTGTGTCCTTTTGCGGTAACAAGTCATAGCCATCAGTCAAGCTGTAGGCTGGGTTCTCTGAGCTCTCCTAGCAAAACGCTGAGCCTGGGTGATGTTGGGGACCTCTGACACACTCCCTTATTTAAAACACTTCTCGGGCTTCCCACTGCTCTTAAAAATAAAGACCAAGTGCCTTCCAGAGGCCCACGCCTATTCTGCATGCTGTGGCCTCCACCTGCCTCTCTGACCTCACTTTCACCACCCTCTCTGCTGGGCCACAGTGTACTCAGCAACACGTTCCTTCAACCACAGGGCCTTCGCAATCCCTTGCCTAAAACTCCAGCCCCTCTTCCACTGTGTCATGTGTCTTCTTTAACCCCCTTCAGGCCCTAGCCAGTTTGGCTCAGTGGATAGAACATTGTCCCATGGACTGCAGGGTCCAGGTTCGATTCCAGTCAAGGGCATCAACCTCAGTTGCAGGTTCTATCCCTGACCATGCGGGAAGCAACCAATGGATGTCTCTCACATTGATGTTTCTCTCTCTCTCTCTGTCTCTCTCTCTGTCTCTCCTCCTCCTTTTCACTCTCTAAAAATCAATGGAAAAATATCCTCAGGTGAGGATTAACAACAACAACAAAAGAATAACCCCCTTCGGGAGGTCTCTCTCAAGCATCCCAGCTCCAGACTGGCTACCACCCCCATTGCACTCACAAAGGGTCCCTCTCTCCTCCCCTGTGGAGGCAGGTCCAGCAGTTTCTGTGACTGTTGGAGTCTGTCATCCCCATCAGGGCAGAGACCAGGTGGGTTCCTGCTCAGGTATGATCCTCTGTGGCTAGAGGACTGTCGGTTCCCACCACAACTACCTGGAGGGTCCCAGCAGCATGCTCACCACCCCTGGGCCCTCACCCGCCCCTCCCGGCCTCTGGGCATCTGTGTTCTGAGGGATGCCTATTTTTAAAATCAGGGAAGTCTTTAAATAAGCGTAACAGGTTTTCCTTCTCTAGGGTGGGGAGGAAGTTTGAGGTTCAGGGAAACCACCACCTGTGACGGCTGACCAGCTTTGGGGGAGGGGCCACTGGCAGCCCAGGTGCCTCCCAGCCACACCCCCTCTGAGCCTAGCGCTGCAACATTTCTCTCCTTTTCCACTGGGGTCAGGATCCCTCCTTTCTTGATAAGCGTCTGTCAACCCAGCAAGATGATCACATCACGAGGCTGGTGGTAATACCTACAGTAGTGGAAATCGTAGTGATTACAACTAGAGTACCTGCCATTTCTGAGTTCCGTGCAAAGCCCTTTATAACACACGGCAAACACTCCATGGAGTGGGGGCGTGAAACTCCATTTACAGACACAGAAACTGGGAACAGATAGGCCAAGCAACATGCCCTAGGGCAGGGGTCCTCAAACTACGGCCCACGGGCCACATGCAAATACAAATATTGTATTTGTTCCTGTTTTGTTTTTTTATTTCAAAATAAGATATGTGCAGTGTGCATAGAAATTTGTTCATAGTTCTTTTTTAAACTATAGTCCGGCCCTCCAACGGTCTGAGGGACAGTGAACTGGCCCGTTTAAAAAGTTTGACCCCTGCCCTAGGGTCACACAGCTGGTGAGAAACAGACCTTGTTTTCTGACCCAGGCTGTCTGGCCCAGAGCTCCTCCTTTTGTTTACAAAAGTATAGAAAGAAAACAAAAGCACAGAAAGAAAAAATATGCAGTGATCCAGATAGAAATGAAGACTTATCGGGAGTGCGAATGAGTCATCGGGGTGACTCTATCCCCCAACGTGTTAGCAGTGCTTTGGCCAGGACAGAGTTCAGGGCACCCATCTTCCCTGCCTCACAGTCTAACCTGTGGCTCTCAGTCCTGGCTGCACATTGGACACATAGAAGCTTTAAAGAACTCCGATGCCTGGGCCCCACGCCCCAAGATTGTGATTCAGTCGGTCTGGGGATGGCCTAGGGGTTGAGATCTCCTGTGCGCAGCCCAGGCAGACAACTAGCACCACAAATGAACCCAGAGCCTCCAGAAGCCTCGTGAGAAATGAGCCAAAGGGCTACAAGGCTTTCTAAGCACCCCTGGCTCTCAGGTTCCCAAGAGGTGGCGGGTGACACACAATCATCTGAGATGAGGATAGGTCTGCTGATGGGCTGCAAACCCAGCTTATACTCATGATCAAATCCCCAGCTCCCCCCCCCCCCCCCCCCCGCTGCTCCCCGCCTCCTGAGTTTAAGTGTTCATTATAGTTGGGCACCTTGCCAAGTGCTTTCCATGCACAATCTTATTTCATTCTCACCACAGGTCTAGCAGGGAGTTATTGTTCCCACTTTACAGAACAGGAAAACTGAGGCTTGGAGAGATGGGAAGGGGCAGAGAGGGACTCTGAGCCCCTCTCAACAGAGCTGGCTACAGCAAACCAGGTCTGAGTCATGGCTAAAAACCCCACCAGTCTCTCCTACAACACAGTTTTCCTTTCAAAAACAAGGAGAACTGAGAAAATTACAGAGCTCCTAAGAGCAATCCTATTAAAAGGTTTTAAAAAACACAATTAATTCCATAAGATACTGAAAGGAACTGTTCTTTGAATCAGTTAAGAGGCTTATTTGCTATAAGTGGCCCTGGCCCAATCTTTCCAGCCCCTCACCATGCCCCAAGGCCAGGCTCTCAAATGGCCCGTGTGATGACACACAAGCTTCTGACCCTCCAGGTGTGTCCTTAGTTCTGCATTCCAACCCTCTGCCTCCCCTGCTGTGTCTGTGGCCGAACACCCACCTCACCCCTGTGACATGTCCTGGAAGCTTCCTAGCTTCATTCAGGCCCCAACTCACCTAGATTCCCACCCCCAGCTTCACCTGCTGTCATTCACCCCAATGAGCAGACCTTGCCCTTAGATCAGCGGTTCTCAACCTGTGGGTCATGACCCCTTCACAGGGGTCGCCTAAGACCATCGGAAAACACATATATAATTACGTATTGCTTTTGTGATTAATCACTATGCTTTAATTATGTTCTATTTGTAACAATGAAATTGGGGGTCACCACAACATGAGGAACTGTATTAAAGGGTCACGGCATTAGGAAGGTTGAGAACCACTGCCCTAGATCAATTTCTTTCAGTGTTAATACCATGGAGACATGAGCAAAAGGAAATAAATTCACAATAATCCCAACACACCAAATTTATCATCTACCAATCCTATCTACCTATCTCTGCCCCTAATCTATGTCTTTTACAATTATAATAAAAGACTACAGATAATGTTGTATCGTCCCCCCCCCCCCACTAATTATATGCATCAGACTTATTTATACTTTGGTTAAATTTTATATATATACATATATATATACATATGTACATATGTATATATATATGTATATATATATATATCTTTTAAATATATATATGTATATATATTTTATTGATTTCAGAGAGGAAGGGAGAGGGAGAGAGAGATAGAAACATCAATGATGGGAGAGAATCATTGATTGGCTACCTCCTGCACACTTCCTACTGAGAATCGAGCCCACAACCCGGACATGTGCCCTTGACCAGAATCGAACCTGGGACCCTTCAGTCCACAGGCCAACACTCTATCCACTGAGCCAAACTGGCTAGGGCTATTTATACCTTTTTAATGGCACAGAAACCTACCAAGGAAAAACAGCTCTCACGATTGCGTTTTCTGATTGTTCTTCATTTTTAGCATTTTTATCACCAATACTAAAACCACATTTTCTCA